GGGTTAAACCCAGCCCCGAAGGGGTTAAAACTACCCGATGACGCTGTCTCCGAGGGGCTGGATCCACAAAGGGTTAAATCCCCTGCCGCAGAGCCCACAAGGGGTTAAGGTCCCAGAGCCACCTCCTCCCACTTCCACGGGTGTCGCTCCAACCCGAGCTTCCAGTTCCTTAGGCCGGGCCGGAGCCTTATCCGAGGACAGACAAACTCATCTCCCCTTTGGCTCGATGCTCTGCTCTGCTCAGCTCAGTTCTCCGCCTCCTCCTTTCCTCCCTCCTCCCCCCTCCGACAGCTCCTCTTCCGCCTCCTCCCCCAACTTCCCCTCCCAACCTGCCTCTCCACCTGCCAACTTCCAACTGCTGCCTCCCAGTCCTCTGCGCAGCTTTTATATAGACGCTTGTCCGCCCCGCCTTTGCGCATGCCTAACGGGGTCCCCATTGCAGGAAGCTGGGACTGGTAGTTCCCATCTTTCAGGCCGCCGTCCTCACGCGCCGTGCAACGTAGCCAATCTAGGAACGCGTAGGTGGTGTCTTCCAGGCCACCTCCCTCCATCCATTACTCCTCGCTGGAGAAACGTGAGCAACCATTGGTCTAGAGTCACAAGTGTCACGGAGGAAGGAATGCCAATCACAGAGAAGATGGGGCGGGTTCTGGATCATACCATTATGCTTCAAGAATACGAGAAGATTCCATGATCTAAGAAGGCCCGCACAGAATATTTTCAGGAAAAGGTGCGTTTTAAAGCCTGTTACCATTTTCTGTTCTCAGTGGAAGGGTTCTGAAAATCATAAACATTTGTTAACTATAGCAAAGAATGGTTTATTCCTAAAAAGTAGTCCCAAACGCGTAAAAGAAAAAAGATCTAATAAAGATATGTTGGCACAGGGCTGGCTGGTAACTCTCGATTCTTAATATTTCAGAAATGGTTTCAAAATGTGTGGTTAGTGCCTGGGACTGACGTTTGCGGACGAACATTTGAATATATTTTGTGAAATAACGAAAAGCGCATGAAGAAGTAAACAAATGAGGAATAAAAAGTGCCGCCTTAAAGGGACAGTGTGACTGTGTTAGCAATCAATCTCGGACTAGGCCTCAGAAGATGAGAAAGCAGGTTCGAGTCCTGAGTGACGTTCACCTTCACACTGGCGTCCAGACCTATGGGCGAAAATGACTGAGTCCGGCCATGTGTAGCCTTTCAGGCCCACGGCCGCCTCAGGGACCAGTGCGAAATGGTGGGCCGCAATTGAGTCGCTCCTGGGCCGGGAACCGGGAAGCGCGGGGTGTGCGACCACAGCTCCCTGGAAACCTGAGGCAGGAAGGCGTCACCCAAGGGCCTCAGCTTCCATAGAAGAAAATGGCCTCTTGGGGATGACTTGGTCTGTTCACTTCCAGGCCCACCTGGAGCATTACCTGAGATGGACAGGGAAGTCGCTCCAACTAATAAACCTTGTTGTTGGGGAGGGGTTTGAAATTAATGAATTTAAATAATCGCTCCTGGCTAACAGAGAAAGAGAGAAGGGGATATCACCCCCAGAGGCTCTTCCTCATCACTGGGTATCAGCGGGAGGGAAGCAGAACCAGAGAGTGAGGAGGAGGCCTTGCCCAGAAGCAAGGGGAGGAAATTTGGGCTCATGACTGTGGGGTAGACTCATGGGGAGAGAGAGAGACAACTTGTTCTTCTTCTTTTCGCCACGTTCCTAGTGACCCATTCTTATTCCTGAATAGCAATGGTTTACGTTCCAACTGCGTTCCAGCTGCATTCCACTGTATGTGCTCTTAACCGCAGAACCATTTGATCCCACCACAGCCCAGGCAGGATAGGAATTACTGTCTCCATTTTAGAGATAAGAAATTTCTAAGATTCATAGAAATTAATTGACTTGTCCAAGATTCCATGACAACTAAGTGACAACTCTGGCTAGTATACTCTTTGTGACTTCCCATGCTATTTTTCTTTCTGTCACAAACACACAATTCCCTTCTTTCTCAAGAACTCTGCATTTTGTTCTTTTACATTTCTAACAGCTTCAGCCTAAATCAGTCCCTTACTCCTTCATTTAGCAAAGATTTGTGAGGAGGGTATGTCCTGCCTGGTGTGGCTCAGTGGATTGAACACCAGCCTGTGAACCAAAGGGTAGCCTGTTCCATTGCTAGTCAGGGCACACGCCTGGGTTATGGGCTGGGTTCCCAGCTGGGGGTGCATGAGAGGCAACCAACACTGATGTTTCTCTCCCATTCTCCCTTCCTTCCCCTCTCTCTACAAATATTTTTTTTAATCTTAAAAAAAAAGGAGGGACCAATAATGTCATCCTTGCTGCTCATGGACTGTGTAGAGAGGCCATCAAGTCACAGTGATCCAAAATGGCAAGTGACAAAAATCCAGTAAGGTTTGTGAGCCAAGCTGCTTAGGAGTTGGGAATTGTGTACAGGTTTCGAGGGGAAATAACTTACTGGCTGTCTCTGACGGCTGAATCGTTTTCAGGCAAAGTGGCGTGAAGGAAAGGCATTTTATGGAGAGCAAGTATCATGTCCAAAGAAAGGACTTACCTGAGAATTCAAGACTGGTTTTGTGAGAAAGTGGTGGGTGGGGGGGCAAAAGGAGATGGCAAGCCTGAGTGCTTCCAGGGGACAGCCAGATGTGTTGAAAATTGATCAACCCAGCCTGTTTCCCCTGAGCTTCCAAGACCTCAAGCCCGTCTGAACAGCCTGCCTTCTGTGCTGCTCCATCAGTCAAACACACGGTCCTTTAGGGGCGAGAGCTGCCCCTCACCCTGACACGTTTTCAGACTCCAGAGGACTAGTGTGTGTGTATTCTCAGTCAGGGCTTTGGAGGGTATAGCAGAGACCAGCCTTAGTTTACTGGACAGGGCTCAGCTGTGCGGGCTCACTTGTCATATTGGGGAGGGATGCCCAGACTACTAGGTTGTGGAATTCTAGAATTCTATCAAACGGGAGGTCAGGCACCTTACTGTGTTTTACACTTTGCCTGGTATTAGATGCCCTGGTCATTTGAATTACAGAACTGCCTTGCAATCAAAACATCATCATCCTTATTTTGCAAACAAGATAACCTAGGGCCTGAGCCTTGCAGAATTCACACAACTAGTGTGTGCTAGTGGTGGAGCCGGCTTCTGCCCCCGTCTCACTGCCTTGCTGTTGCTTATAACACTGGGCCAACTGTGGAGCCACAGGGCCTTGTGTCTGTTCTGAAGGTTGCTGCCTTGAGAAAAGGAGTGAGGGTCAAAGAGTTACAGTGCTGGCTTCCAGTGGGGCAAGTGATGGCCACGCCTGGGAGAGTTGACAAGGACAGGAGTTGACCCAGATAACGCAGGAGTTTAAGTATCTCCAAGGATACTTAGAACTGCCTTCAGAACTGCCTCTTTCTCACCCAGGGGCACAAAGACCTTGAGTCCCAGGTGGTGGTAGCTACGGGGGGGGGGAGGGGGGGGGGGGAGTGGGGGGGGGGGGTTCGAGGCTGTTGCAACCCTTCACAGGTAGAGACCCTGGCCAGTGGCCTCTGTGGCGCCAACATGGCCTAGACAGCAGGGTTGGTACTAACTAGAGGAAGGCCAAGGTTGCCAAACAGAAAAATTCGGTTCCGGAGCAGACAGTATCACCCAAAGGCCTGTGCCCACGTGAGTGCCCTGGCCCTCCATATGGGGGCTCCCCGCTCCCTTGCCCAAGGGCCCGGAACGTGAGAACGCTCCTGCTTGGTCTTCGCCTTCCTGAAAGTTCCCTGGGAAATGCCCAGCAAGGGGTTCACAGGAAGGGGGCACCGGGAGCGAGCAGCTGAGTGTTAAGCGAGCAGTGGGTACTTCAGTGGCCAGGATGTCGGGACCCCAACCCTAAGCTCAACACGGGGAGCAGGGAGCAGACGTCTGTGTCTTGCGGTGCTGACAGAGCTATGCCCGGCCCGCAGGGCCCCCGACAGGGAGGGGCAGGTAGGGCTGAGCCTTTGGCCCAGACCCTGTAGTGGGTGTGGCTTGTACCCCTCCCCACAAAGCCCCAGCTCCACTCCTCTGGTGACACTCCCCCTCCTCTGCTTCCGCCTTTCCTCAAGACCCCGGGTTCTGTGTTCCCTAAACTTGGTTACAGAGGAGCGACAATTTTCCTGTCTTAGAAACACCAACCAGTAGCCTCTGGTGCGGTCCGAAGGGATAGGGGTGGTGGGGAGCAGGGACGAGACTGTGCCTCACGCGCACCAGACTTGATTTCTGCTTCACTTCGTTGACGGCAGAAGATTAAGGTTTTATTTTATTTAGTGAAACGTTTATTTGTAATCGAGTCTTCAGTGAAGACGTCCTGAGTGTGTGTGGGGAAAGGCAGGCTAGCGAACAGAGCTCACGCCCCTCCCCTGGGGCCTGTTCTCTCCGCCTTCCCCCAGCTTGGCCGGGGCTTCCTGGCCTCCCTCCCAAAACCTCCCAGCCGACCAATCCCAGGACCCGGCCCAAGTCCCAACTTGCCCAAGAGCTAAGCCTCCACAGGGAGAGGCTAGGGTAGAAGAGTCAGGTGACCCAGGGGGTGGGGAGGGCAGAGGCTGAGGCACGGCAGCCCCGCCCCTGAATCACAGGCCAACCCAGAACCTAGGAAGTGCACCGCAAAAGCAACCTTCCAGGGAAACCTGGGATGGGTTGGGGGCGGGGAGAAGCTTCCTTGTGAAGCTGCTGGGAAAGGTGGGGTCTTATTTGTCCCTCCCCCAATAGGGGAGGAGTGCCAAGGAAAACACTGATTGGTAGTGGTGGTGTGGGGCGGGGATTAATGCTGTCCTTAACCCTGCGAAGGCTCAGGGCAAAGCAGAATGGGACTCAGCCTCCTCTGTTGGCTGTGGAGACTCCTTCATTGAGAGTCACCTCTTCTGGGTCCGAAACTGTCTGACGAGCCACTGGGCAATGAAGGGCCACAGGAGGAAGAAGAGCAGCGTAGGACCCGAGAGCCTGAGGGACCAAGGCGGAGCACTGGATGTGGGCCTCTGCTGTCGAGAGGGAGGGAGGGAGGGAGGGAGGGAGTCAGGGGCCAGCCCACGCCTCTGCACCGACTGGGCCCTCCTTAGGAACCTGATTGCAGAACTCAGCGGGAGCTTCTACTTCCTCAAGATTGTGAGGACTGGGTCAGAGAAGCCCCTGACCCCATATCTGCACCACTAGAAGGGAAGGGATCCTGGGGTTCCTGGCATGTCCCTGACAGATTAGCTGTATTCACTCCCATGTCCTCCTTCCAGGACAATCCGAGGTGCCAAGAGGCCTGGAGGAGGGAGGGGCTGCTGAGTGGGTGGAAGGACTGACTACAATGGCCCTGCTGGCGTGGCCTGAGACCCATATTCTAAAGGATGTGCCACATATTTCAAATGAGGACCTGAATCCTCAGATATTAGTCTCTAAATATTCTTTGCTAAAAGGAGCCAGGGCTCCTTGGAGAAGTGGCTGGTTCCAGGTCTGGAGCAGGAAAGGCAGAGGTGAATGAGAGACATCTTGTGCCAGAAAGCAAGGAAGCTTTTAGAGATGAACAAGGTCATGATAGGCCCCAACCTGAAAGGGTCTCTGCTGACCAGAGCTGTGACAATCTGAGCATCAAAAAGAAGGGTGGTTGCAGTTGACCGAAATACTGAGTCTGTAATTCGTGAGTCTGCATTGATACTCAAAAAGAGTAAGTTGGAGATTTGTCACCACTGAGACTGTTAAATCAACTCTTTACTTTAAAAAAGAGAGAATTAAAGAGAATTAAGCACTTATTCTGCTTTTTCATAAGGCACTATTTCAGAGAAATCCTAGATAATCAAGGCAAGTACTGGAAAATAACAGCTAATAAATTTTAAAGGAATAAAAGAATTTAAAAGTAAACTTTCTCGGCAACCATTAAATAAATTATTGATTAAACAAGAATTACCTATCAACTGTTGTCAAAGCCTGTGTGACAAATGGGGCAGACAGGGAGCTGGCCCTGCCCTGCCTCCAAGAGCAAAACGACTTCACAGTGGTGGGATGAGGCCGCCAGCCCTTTATCCATGGGAGTGGTCTGTGTTAGAATCATTCATGGGTGTACGCCCAGATACGAATCCCCTGGTGTGAAGGACGTCACCTCTGATGAAACCTGGTCATGTAAACTAGCCACCAGGATGTAGGCAGTCCCCCCAGAATGGAACATTTCTACAGGACCACTGGCTGAGTCTCCTTCGCAAGTCGATAGGAAGGAACATGGACTGGTCTGGACTACAAGAGCCTTAAAAGGACAGGAACCAGCTGCGGCATGTGCTCCTGGGCTGGATGGACAGACAGAGCAGCTGGAAAAGGAGAGACTGCAGTTTGGACTAGCTATTCGATGACATGAAGGGATTACAGTGTGATAAAATAAGGTAGTAGAATGTTCTTATTTTTAGAGTTGCAGACCCAAGTATTTCAGGGTGGAAATCTTTAAAGCTGTCAGCACATACAGTTAGGAAAAGGTAAACAAAATTTTAAAAAGCCAGGGGAGGGGGTGTTGAAATGTTAACCACCGTGGATATAAGGAATTTCCTGCCTCTCTCGTTGATACTCATTGTGCGGTGGGTACTAGGGGTCACCCAAGTGACCCCCCCCCCCCCCGTCCAGCAACTCAGCCCTCGCCTGCCCCCACCACCCCAGGCTTCTTAAGCAAGAAGAGACCCATTCAGAGGTAATGGTGGGTGCCAGTTTTGGAGGGAGACAGACCTAGGGCCTATCACTTAATGCTAATAATAATACTAACAATGAACTGCATTCTGGGAAGCGCTGGAGAAGTATCTATATACATTATCTCATCTAATCCACACAGCAGCTCTGTGAGGTTCTTCCAGGCTGTGTGCCGCCAGGTAGGTTACTCAGCCTCTCAGAGCCTGAGTTTCCTCATCAGTAATAGGGAAATGAACATCTATTTCATAGGGTTGTTTTGTGAATTAAGTGAGATAATGCAACTAATGGTTTTTAGCACACAGCTGGGACTTCAGAAATGCAAGAGGTTGAGGTATAAGGGGCAAGCGGATCTTGGAGTTGAGAGGAGAAAGTGAGGGATGCAAGAGCTGAATCGTTTGGGGGTAAATGCTAAATCAGGGAATAGAAATCCTAACTAAGGAGCAACAGGGACTCCCAGCCCCAATGCAAAGAGCAGACACACCCTGTTGGAATTAGTTCTCCTGCTCGGTGTCTCTTCAGGCAAAGGGAGGTAAGGGCAGGAAAAGAGGGCCCTCCCCACTCTCCCAGGAGGAAGCACTCCAGATCCCTGAGTTCCCTGCTGGAGCATTACCCTGTTCTCCAGAGGAGGCCAGTGTGGGCAGTTACAGATGTGGGGTCAAAGAAGCAGCTGGATGAAGAGCCCGGAAGAGAGGCCTTCAGAGTTCTGCCCCAGTCTTGCCCTGGATCTTGGGGGAGAAGGGCTCACCTGCCTAGGGGGGCCAGGCATGCTCTCCAGGCTTTGCAGTCTTCCCTGGACATCCCGCATGCTCTCCTGCAGTGCTCGGACTGTCCCCACCAGCCATGCGTCCAATTCCTGGGGCCCGGGCAGGCTGCCTTTCAACCAGTCTGTGGAGAACAGACACATAAGGAAGAGGACTCAGGAGGTAACTCAGCTAGGGGCAGGCTGGGGCAAGCCCAGGAAAGAGTTGAGAGTAGGACACAACCCCTTGTACCAAGGGTGCCTTTTGTAGAGTCCATCTGCATGGCTGAGTGACAGGCTATCAAGGGTGGCTGTGCCACTTTGGGCAAGTCAGTAACTTTTCTGAGCTTCATTTTGTCATCTGAAGATTAGGAGACCTTGTCATCTCCTTCACAGGGCTGCTGGCTCAAAAGAATATTTATGAAAAGTGTCCTTTAAGGGGCGCAGCACACTGGAAACTATAGAAAGGGACAGGGCAGAAGTCATTGTTGTTTTTTGAGAGTCCCAAAGGAGAGGCCCAGAGAAAGAGAATGACTCTCAAAGCCTTGCAACTGTAGCTGTGGGCGGGGCTCACCTCTCCCGCCCCAGCTGCTCTTACTCCTTGCCTGATGGCTCCTGACTGAGGGCCTTCAGCAAGAGGAGGCGGGACGAGGACTTTGCCCATCCAGGCCGGCATCTGGCTGTTTGTCAACCCTTCCTGGGCAGAGGCTGCTCTCTCCAGTGCCCAGAGCTAGACTTTCATCTCTGCCCCTAGAGGGCAGCCAGGAGAAGGCCCGGGGCACGAGAACCATGGGGAAGGGCAGAAGGGGGTCAAGCAGTGGCTCACCATTCTCTGTTGGGGGCACAGGGCTGTTTCTGTTGTCAGGCTCTCCTCCAGGGGCGCCCTTCTGCTCTGCCCAGGCCTGCCAAGATGAGTTACAAGGTCCCAAGGGAGCAGTGAGAACAGCTGGGGCGCAGTAGGGTAGGAAGGGGAGAGTACAAGGGGTTAGCTCACCAGCTCAGGCTCCAGCTGTTCCAAAGAATCACAGAAAACCTCAGAGTCCAGGTCCTTGGGTGGCTGAGACTCTAGGGAGGGCGTACGTATGTTAGTGACAGAGAGAGGCTATGGAGGGAGGGGAGGAGTAAAGCACTGGGCAGAGGCAATAGAGATACTGCTGCAAGAGGCACAGATGGGTCCCAGACATGAGGCCCAGGAACAGGAGTCCCAGAACCTTCCTCCTGGCTTCCCCTGGAGCATAGGAGGTCTCTGTCTGTGGGCATGAGGTATGGTGGGTACAGCATAGCATCCAGCCTCCCCTTCACCTACCTGGATGTCTCCCCAATCCTGGCCTGCGTTTGACCCTCTGCCCCTCCTGCCCAGCCACTGACCTGGGCTTGGGGGTGCTGGTTCCTTGGGGAGGCAGGGAGGCTCTGGGGCAGCCCCAGCATTTCCATTCGGTACCTGCTCTTTCCAACCTGCACAGACACAGCACCCAGGGATGCAGGTGGGAAAAAGCTGGCACCTCCCAGTGAGATCAGACCTGTTTCCCATTAGCCATGGACTCTGCCTGAGACCTGCTCCATCTCGGACAATGGCTGGGGTCCTTACAGGTACATCACCCAGAGCCCTCTGCCCGCCCCCCCCCCCTCAGGGGCAGTGGCTGGGGTCCTTATAGGGACATCACCTGGAGCCATCTGCCCCTGGGCCCCCCTCCAGCTAAGCAGTCCCTTCAGCCTGAACCTATAACAGTTCACTCACACTTGTGGAGCTCCCATTGTGGGGGCCTGACCTGTGACCCTTCTCAGGAAGGTTTCTGGGGGCCTTGGCATGTCAGGGATCAGCCGGTACAGGGGCTCAAAGTAACCAAAAATGTCGTCTGCCACCTCACCCAGTGGCACCGTATCAATCACCTGTAGGAAATAAGGTTTACTGAGGGAGCAGCTAGCCCCTTCCACCCCAGCCCTCCTGTTCCTTTGAGCTGGGGCCCTCCACCCTGCTCCTGCCATCTTATCCTCCACCTTGTGCCCAGCCAGAGACCAGAGACAGGGTTGAGGGGATAGCATGAAGGTGGTAACTGCAACCGGGTGTCCACGTTCAGGAAACATAATGGGAGCTGCACTGGAAGGATGAGGGGCAGGCCACCTAGCCGGGAGCTTCAGGACAGAGAGGAGCCCACAGCCTACCCCTCCCTACCTTCTGTGCTACCACCTTCATCTCAGCGATGTAGGCGGACATGGCCTCCTCCCTGCTCATCTTGCCCAGGCTGTTCCAGGCATCCCTGAGGGCAGAGAGCTATGAGAAGCTGGTTGACAGCTGAGGCTTGTTTGCCCAGCCAGTGGGGAGCTCACCACTTATATCGTCCAATGGGGTCCCAGAACCCAGGCCGGGGAGCCTGGCAGGGCCCCATGGTAGCCTGCTTGTAGTAGCTGTAGAATCGAAGCATCTCTTCGTAGGAGGGGCGGTAATAGCCTGGGCAGGAAGTTGGGAAGTGGAGGGCAGAGCATCACCCCCAGCTCCAAGAGGATGGAGGTGGGGGGGAGCCATTATAGGAGAGGGCAGAGATGGTAAGGGGGTCTACCAGGCATAGGAAGCAGAGAGGACCCACCGAGTGACCCAGGCAGAGACTTGTCCGCAAAAACTGGAGGGATCAGAACCTCCTGGGAGGCAGACCCCAGCCACCTTGACCCCCCAATGCAGGTCCCTGTGCCCTCACCATCACTGTTCTTAGGCAGGTTCTGAATGACTCTGACCGCGGCCTGGAACTGTTCCTGGCAGTCCGGTTCTGGAATTTCATTCTTGGTACCCATTCGCAACTGCTCTGAGCCCTGAGGCCCTACTTTTGAGCAATTCTGCAAGAACAAGCCTCTATGTGAGCAGACCTTGGGGTCCACCCTGGCATGCCCCGCCCTCCGTAAACCACTGATCTACTTTCCAGAGGGCCAAACTAAGCTCTTGAGAGGCCTGAGATACCCGTGGAGGTCAGGAGCTGTGCCTGAAGAGACTCCTTTCTACCCCAAGGCAGCGTTGGTACGGCTGGAGTGGGTAGCGCCGTCCTCGGTGGGCGGGTAGAGAGGTAGGTGGTAAGAGGTCTCAGTGCCCCTCTAAATGCTCATCTCCAACTACTAGACAAGGGAATGGGCAAGCCAAGATGAGTCAGGTGGACGGAGAGTCCTCCCACCCTGGCCTCCGCACCCCGGCCCCGCAGCCCGGCACTCACCCCGCAGAGCCCCCTGCCCGAAACCTGGGTCCTTTCTCGCCACTAGCCGAAGGCTTCCTACTGACCTCCCGGCCTAGCGTGGCGGGGATGGAGAGGCGGGGCGAGGGAGAATTTAAGCCAATGAGAGAGCCTGTCTTAGATTGGCTTTTACATCCTAGCCACTCAGCGAGGCCCTTTCAAGATTATGCAAATAGTTAGCTGTGTCTCTCCCAATCAGGCGGGCGAATCATGCCCAGCGCTGCCAGAGGCGGGCGGAAGCGCCTCCTGCGGGACACAGTGAAATAACGCGGAGTACTCGCGCCCCCTGGTGGAATCACGTCTGTCAGCTGAACCCAGGTCTCTTCAGACACCAGTAGCTATGGATAAAACAGGGAGTTCTGTCCTGGCGCATGGAGTTCTGGAGGAGGGGCATCGGGGCTGAGTTTTGAAAGGCTTAAGCCAGGAGAAGAATGAGGAAGGTCATTCTGGAGGAATTGCGGGATCAAAAGTGCAGAGGCGAACACTTGATATCCCAGAAAGAATATCCAGAGAGAGAGACAGAGACCCAAGCCAGCATGTAGAATCTCAGTCGAGGATATTTAAGAATGGGCTAGAGCCCGAGGCAAAAAGTTAATAAATCTACCTGCCGATGTCACGCTCTGGGCCGCTGCAGAATGGCAGTGGGCGACCAGATCTTCGACCCCGAGCCAGGGCACTTTTAACAGACAACGCAGACGTGCACGCACCTGAAGTCATCTGTCCATCCTACCCTTCATGAACAAGTACGCAAGTGGTTTGACATTCGACGCTCGGCCACAGGTTGATGTTACAGACGTCTGCGCTGAGGGCAGCGGCTGTCCCGGAACGATCAAGCGCCCGGTGAGGGTGCCAACCCCCCGCAAGCCTCGAACCCCGGAACCCAGTTCTGCCAACAGCTGTAGACTCCAGACCAGTCAACCTCGCGAGACTCTTACAACCCGAGGGGTCGGCAACTGGCCGGGCGCTGGGAGGGTTAATCCTATGAGGTCACAGCATGAGCCTTCCTGCGCCCCCCCCCCCCCCCCCCCCCCACGGCTTCCCGCTCCCCAACTCCTCTGGTTTGGGCTGCCCTGGGGCCCGGCTCTGCTCCCAGGGCCCTATCGGCTTTCCGGGACCCAGTACCCTTGACCCGGGACGAGCCGCCCTGCAGACCCCGTCTCCCCCAGCTCCCTTCTGAGGCCTCCGGTAGGACTGGAGAAGGAAAAGGTGGGGAGGGGTCCCGACTCCGTACTGAGTTCGGGGTCCAGGGAAAGGTGCCTGTGTGGGAGGACGACCCTCGTTCCCTCCGGTGCCCCTAATGGAGGTTCCGGTCAACGACGAGGCTGGAATCCGCTTGGCAAATAGGGAGTCCTGAGCAGGGGGCGAAAACCGAGACTCGCGGGAAGGGGCCCGGGTCGGCCCCCTCCTCGGACCCCCTCCTCGGACCCCCTCCTCGGACCCCTCTCCGCCTGGAGGCCCCGCCCCCTCCCTTCGCACCTCCCTTACGCGATCCTCGGCCCCGCCCCCTCCTCCGGGTCCCTCCTTCCCAGAACCTCGTCCCTTCTATTCTCCCTCCTCCCGACACCTACTCCTTCCGACTCCTTCCCGGCGCCGCTAAGTTTCTTCGCCCGCGACCGCGCAGAGCCCGGGCCGCAGCGGCGCCCCCGCTGCCCTGTCCCGCGCGCAGGCACCAGGCCCGGCCCCGGCCCCCGCCGAGGCATGTGGTGTGGCCGCTGGAGGAGCCTCCGGCGCCGGGAGCCCCCGGTGCCGGCCCCGGTCGCAGCGTCCGTCGCGCTCCCGGCCCCGCCGGCATCCCAGGACGGCGGCACCAAGAGGCCCGGGCTTCGAGCGCTGAAGAAAATGGGTCAGTGACCGGAGGGGTCGGTTCGGGTGGGCACGGACTGTCTCCCACCGCGCAGCCTGGGAGGGGTGTCCCGGCGAGCCGTTAGGGGGCTTCCCAGGCTTCAGGGGGTCGTGGATAGTATGGCGAGGTGTGCAATGCCCGAATCATTCCGTCTGGGGGGTCGCACCTGTGGCCACCCGCGGTCCCCAGGCCCAAGCTTGGCGCCCGGTGTGGCCTTTGTTTCCCACCAGGAGGCGGCCGCGGGGCGTGCTGGAGTGGGAGCCTGGGCGAGGGGTGCGGATCGGGGGGTCCCTGAGGGCCGGAGAGTGGAGAGGGAGACAGGCTTGGGGCGTCCACCTTTCCAACGCCCCGCGCCCTCCACCCACCAGGGTCTGCGTGGGTCCCCCGGGCATCCCGGGTCCTTGGCCGCCCTTAGAAGGGCCTAAGAGCCGTGGAAGAAAGAGACTGACCTCTCGAGCCAGCCCTCCAACCTGGCCGCCCCCAGAGGGGTCTCAGCAGCAACACAGCACCGCCAGGACTGTTCTAACGGGTGGGAGGCCTGCATCAGAAAGCCAGAGTTCCCATCTCAGGTTTGGGGAGAGCCCCTGGGGAAAGGGCTACCATAACTGTGGCTTATTAAGCATCTTCCAGAGACAGGCAGCACTGGGTAGTTCCATACGTGGTGTCATGCAGTCTTCACCTTCCTGATAGGTAGGTGGATGGTTCCATCCCCGTGACCCAGGTGAGAACCCGGACTCAGAGAAGTTGAGGAATTTGTGTATAACCACACAGCTAGTAAGAGGCAAAGGCTGGCCTGCAGGCTGTGCTATTCCACACGGCGCCTGGTCCCCTCCGAGTCTGGGAAAGTGGGGCCAACTAGGTGGTCAGGTGGCTTGAAAGACAGGGGCAGAGATGTGAGTACTTTGTGAAATGTGAAGCGCTGTGACATTGGTGTATCAGGACTGCCGTTTGTAGAATAGTTAATGATGGAGAGACGGGGGTGGAGCTGAGGGAACAGAAGGGCAGGTCTGCCCAGGAGACCGCTCTGAACTCTCAGAGCAGAATTCAGAGCATCCCAGTCGCCAGTCTTGCCTTCTTTTTGCCACTGCTCTCTACCCCCGTTTTCTTACGGCTACTTCCTGTCACTCATTCGATCTGAGTTTATTGAGCCCTGCGTTCTAACAACACAACTGGCATTCTCCTCGTGAAGATGTCAGTCTTGCATGCATTCAGCAAACATTCATTGAGTGCCTATGGTATGCTCTGCCCTGGGGATTCAGTGACAAGTAGGACAGACCCTGTCCCGGCCCTTAGAAAACTGACTATCAGGAAGGAGGTCAGACAGTGAAGCAAAGAAAGGAGACTAGGAAGGGAGGGGCAAGCGAGATGCCGGGGAAGCAGCGGGGGCTCTGGCTGTACCCAAGAGCCAGAGACTGGAGGGAGGCAAAAGGTGAGAGGCAGGTAGGGCCAGATCTCAAGGCCCCACCTTATAGGGTTAGGGGCTTTCTCTGGAGGGCAGGGTTGTGCCCAGCAGGGCTGGGTTGGGTGTGAGACAGGGAGACCCGTAGGAGGAAGGCCGAGGGGTGGGCTGGGCAGACGGACTTGGGCTGGCGTAGCCAGGACAGATTCCAGAACCACCTAGGATTTAGACCGGGCTGGACTCTGCAGTCGGCGGGATTGGACAGGTGTCTCCGGTGGGTGTCATTGTCCTTTGTTCTCTGGGCTAAGGAGCAGCTGTGGCTGGGGAGAGGAGGAAAGCCATGGGGAGTTGAAGTGCCACTGAAGAGAGCCAGAGGAGCCACCACTCGCGGGGGCTCTGGCTGCCAGGGAGGGCAGAGGGGCCGGTCTGCACACCTGTCTGCCTCTTCATTCGGCCCTTGCTTACTCAGCCCCATCAGGGTGCCCGGGGCCGGGGCTGCAGGGGTGAATAACAGTGCCCTGCCCTCGGGGGACGCACAGTTCAGTGGCAGGAGTCATGTGTAAACAAATAATTACAGCCCAGCCCAGGCCACGTAAGGTGGCACGAGACTCCGTCACAGTGACACTGTCAAACTGTGTGGGTGTCAGAATGTCACCTGGCGCCCTCTCTCCTCACCATTGCCACCTCCTGCTGCATGACTGCTCAGAGAGGAATGTCCAGTGTGTGGGGACTGCCCCTTCCCCAGGCCTCACTGAGTCTCAGGACAGGGCAGAGAGGAAGCCCCGGTGTCTCGGGGCCTGGGCCCTCGGTCCGTCCACACCCAGGCCTCCACTCACCTCCACCGTAGTCCTGAGATGACCCCCATGGCCACGGCCACACCCCTTAGGCTAACAGAACATATTTTATTTCATATCAGGTCAGGAGAGATGCTTGGGCAGGGAGCGGCTCAGAGGTCAGAGGCTCAGGGGGGCCCGAAAAACAAAGTGCCTTTAGGACCACACTGGGAGAACCAGGGTGAGGGGGAGGAGGGAGGAAGGGCCACCTACGATGAGTGGGAGTCATTTGTGGAGCCCTGGTCCCTCTCCTGTCCCTGCCCCAGGATGGCCGCAGCCTTGGCCCGCCCCATCTCCCCGCCTCCCCCCGGAAGCGAGGGAGGAGAGGAGTCCAGGGAGCGCCTGCAGCTGCATCAGCCCAGATCCAGCATAATCCCAGCAGTGTGGGCCCCCAGGGGGAAGGACACTGCTGCTGTCCTCACCTCACAGAGGAGGAACCCGAGGTGAAGGGGTGCAGTCGCTGGCCCCGGTTCCAGGCCACACAGCCTCTGCCTACCTGCCTGCTGCCCAACCCTAGATTTCAGTGGTGACTCGACTGCCAGAAGGAAGGGCTAGCGATCCGCACCTTCGTAACACTGTGCCGAGGCATCGTGCATATTAGTTCATTGAACGCTCGCAGTCATATGTGGGAGGCAATAGGATGAGCCTCTTCTTACAAATGAGGAGACTGGTGTTCGGAGAGGTTCCGAGCTGGGAAGCGGCTGGGAGAGGACGTGGGCCCAGGCAGTCTGGCCCAGGGTCCGGACCCCAGACGTGATGAACGAGTGAGCGCTTTCTCCTGGGGAGGGCCCTGCCAGCCCCCAGGGGTGCCCTCACAGGCTTGCCAAATGAAATACAGGATGCCCGGTTAAATGTGAATTGCAAATAAATGAGTGATTTGGGACAACTTATACTAAAATATGATCCGTGGCTTATTTGAAATTCCTGTTTAGCTGGGCACCCCGACTTTTATCTGACAACCTGGTCTCCCAGAACCCCTTTCTGACTGCACGCTCCTCCTGCTCCACCCTGTCCCCAATCCGCCCAGCGAGCAGAGCCCTGAGTGGGCAGGATTCTGCTCCCGCCCTCCCCGGCCTGCACACACCGCCAGGTGCCACAGGGCAGGAGGGCTCTGCTGATGGGCTGCCCAGGATGTCTGCTTTGGGGTGAGTGGGCTGTCCGGGCTGGCAGGTGGGGGTCTACAGAGCGGCCCCCAGTGCTGGCTGGTGCTTGGCCTGGTGGGGAGCGGGGGAAGGCAGGATGTCCCTCCTGCCTGAGCAGGAACGTTCTAGGCAGGACTCGAGGGGGACTGACTCTGCCATGCCTTGTGATCCCCTCCCCCCCGAACCTCGACCTCTTCTCCTTCTTCAGCTCTGGCGAGTCCCCTCCCACAACCTTGGCCCCCAAACCAGCTTCATGCCTGTTCCAGGCCTGCCAGGAGGGGTGCTGACACCTCCCTCTCGCGGTGTCTGGCCCGGGCAGGGGAAGCGCCGCCCACCTTTCCTGACTGTCTTGATTCTCCACGGAATGTTGTGGACTCTGGCGCTGAGCTGGGCTGGGCTGCAGCCCTGGGTGTGGCAGCAAGTGGGGGCAAAGGGGACACACTTGGTCCCTGTGGTGCCGGGGCTGCCTGCTGGCTAGAGGATTTAGGCGGAAGGTGTCTGGGGCCCCTTGCCCCTGTGCGTCCCCTCCCAGAGCCTCATGGCCCCAGCCACCGGGAAAAGCTGCTCTTTCTCCCCTTCCCCCGTTGGCATGGAGCTGTCAGCTATCACTGTTCCCTGCGTGTCTCACATTCCTGCTGGAGCCCCACGTGCCCTTCCTGAGTGTGCACTGGCGCGCGCACACACACTGTCTGTTTTCCTTCCCAGGCTGACCCACCTTTCTCCTGCCCACCAACCCCATACACACACACACACACACACACACACACACACACGGGCACACACCACCCTGCACACACTCTCCCAGGAGACCTACCACTCCTTTTACAACCTGCTCTCTGCTCCCTACCCTCTGTCTACACTGGGAAGGAAAGGGGCAGGCTGAGGCCAAGGGACCCAGGAGGACAGACACAGTGGAACACCTGGGTCCCCCGTCCCTCCTGGGTCACGGCCGGGTTTTCTTCTTTATCCTCATCTATCCAGTGCCTGCCGTGGGCCAGGCCCTGAGTGGAGTGTTTTTGTGCTTTGGCTCGTTGGAGCCACTCACGGCCCTGGGGTTGGGCCTTTCCAACTCTGGCGCATTCCAGCTCCAGCTCTGCCCGCCCCTCGCCCCTGGGCAGGCCAGCCAGGCAGCGCCTCTTTGACTTCCCTGTCGAGAATTCTCACACGGTGCATTCGCCCATTTAGAGTGTACAGTGCTTTCTGACATACTACATAATGCTCTTTAAAAATTGTGTTTAAATGTGTATATAATATAAAATTGGCCATTTGAACCATTTTTAAGTAGCTTTTCCTGTGGCATTATTTACAATTCACAGTGTTGTGATATCTGTTCTAGAAACTTCTCTATCACCCTAAACAGAAATAGTAATCATTAAGCAGTAATTCCCTGTTCCCTCCATCTCTCAGCCCCTGGTCCCCCAATCTACTTTCTGTCTCCGATTTTTTTTTTAATTGAAGTATAAGTGACATACGGTCTGTCTGTATGAATCGGACCATATTAGGTGCCTAATGTAAATGGAATCATACAACGTTTGTCATTTTGGGTCTTGCTTATTTCCCTTAGCATGATGTTTTATTTTATTTTATTTTATGTTTTTATGTATTGACTTTAGAGAGAAGGTAAAGGCAGAGAGAGGGGCGGGTAGAGAGAGAGAGATGTTGATTAGTTTGTCGATTCTTATATGTGCCCTGACCAGGGACTGAACCCGCTGCCTTGGCTGTCGGGACGATGCTCTGACTCTGCGCTGCCCAGCCAGGGTCAGCAGAGTGTTTTCGAGGTCCATCCACGTTGTAGCATAGATCATATTTCGCTCCTTTTATGTTTGAATAATGTTCTGCTGTGTGGACAATACCCCATTCTGCTCGTCTGTTTGTCAGTGGACACCTGGGTCGTTTCCACATTCTGGCCATCGTCCGTCCTCATTGTTCCCGCTGTTGTTTCACGATCATCCCCACACCTGCTCAGTCCAGGGAGCCCTGGTGCTGCCAGCCCGGTGTCAAGGCAGAGATGTGGGGACAGGGAGCCCCCAAATCACAGGGGGCAGGCAGCTTGTGCACCTGCTCGGAGCAGGTAGGAATGAGGTGGAGACACGCGTGGGTTCGGGCTTGGCAGGAGCTGTGAATGTTTACAGAGAGCCAGGCCCTTCCCGGCACCTCTGCCCAGACCCGGCACACCCCCTCACCTCTGTTGGTCCTGCCCCTTCTGTCTGCCACCCCACACCCCTCACTGTCCCACGGTTCAGAAGCTCAAGTGACGGGGAAATAGACTCAGCACCAGGCCCAACCTGGCCCTCCACTCTCATTCAGTTTGGCTTTTCCACTGGGGGATAGTGTGACCCAAGAGGCAGTGTGACCCGGGGGCCACTGTCTGTTGAGTGGACAGACTGCAGATTCATGGGGCAGCTGGGGCCGAGGCCAGAAGCAGGGACCTCCTGTCCCAGCGGGGGCCTGGTCAAGAGTTCAGGCTGCCAGTCTCCATGCAGCCTGAAACCTCTGGACAAAGCAGGCCCTCAGTGACTCACCTCCGTTTCTGGCCTTAGTCATTCACTACCCGCCCCTCCTTTCCAGCCTACCCTCCAGCTACGGGCTTGGCATCTGGAGGGCTGGCCCCGGGTCAGGGGAGGGGCTGCAGCTGCAGAGTCTGGTCGTCATGGAGATGAAGTGCCCTTTCCCCACAGCTGAGGAGGTGGAGGGTGCTGGGCTCAGGTGTGGTGGTCCTGCAGGTTTCCCTGACTGTCCTGCCCCCACCCCAATCTTTCTCAGGAGGAGAGAATTCAGAGGCTGCCCAGATGTGGGGGTGGGGGTCTGAGGGCCAGGTGAGCCTCTGGCCTGGTACATGCTACATTCCACCTGCCCTTCCCAGCCAGGGGGCACCGAGCGGGCACTGACGCATCTAGAAGGCCACGGTCTGAGCCCTGAGAAACCCCCTTGGAGCCACTGGGGCCACAGGCTGGCCTCAGGGGGGACCTCAGCCTCCTAAGGATGGCAGACTTCTCCTGCCCCCGATACCCTGATTGCCCTCAGAATCACGGGGTGGATTTTTAAACCTACAGACGCTCAGGCCCCAGCCTGCACCGGCTCAATGAGAGTCTCCAGCCCATGGGTTTTGCAGCCTCCCACAGGTGACTGTGAGGCACAGCCAGGGTTGAGAACCCAGGCGCAGAAGGCCTCTGTTCTGAACTCGGTCAGAAGGGGCAGGGCCGGGGGGCGGGTGTGCACGGTACCCACAGCAGCTGTCTGTCCTTCTGCCTCTGCTTTCCGAAAACACGGGCTGCGAGCCCGGCTCTCAGACCTGCACTAGGGTGAGGGTCTAGGTCTCATCCTGCCCTTGAGTTTATTCAAGTCCCCTGAAATCACAGTTCTGGGGGGATGCTTGCTTGTTTTAATTAAAGTAAAACGTGCTGTTAAGACTTCCTGGAGGAGGTCATATCTGCACTGGACCTTGAGGAGCAGAAGGGAGAAGGGTACTGGGGAGGGAGAGAGAGAGATGGGGAGGGAGAGAGAGGGAGGGGGGAAGGGAGAGAGGAAGGCCCTGGGATTCCCACCCGATTCCTTTGGGCGGCGTCCACAGCCAGTCAGGCAGGGGCCTTGGGGCTCAGAGCCTACGCCAGACCCAGTTTGGGGGCGCTCGTTGAAATAAAGGGAGGAAGAGGAGCCCACCTTCCCATTTCCTTTGGTTTTTTTTTTGTTGTTTCAATTGGATTCAGTTGCCAACATTGAAAAATCTGGAGCCCTCACTACAAATCCAGATTTTGGCTCTCTGAAAATTCTGGGCCCTCGTCCACCTCTGGCTGCCCACCTCCTCCCGAAGGGCGTGGGCCCCCGGTTTGCCGGGCTCCCACAATGGTTCCAGGCCCCTGCGGAGGCAGACCCAGGCAGGGTGGGCTCTGCAGGGTAGGCAGCATCCTGACTGAGTTTTGGATTTTGCAGCAGGCCCTTGTGTGGTCTCCGGTGAATGAATGGAGAACAAGAGGCTTAGAATGGCCCTGGCTGGTGTAGCTCAGTGGATTGAGCGTGGGCCTGCAAACCAAAGGATTGCGGTTCAATTCCCAGTCAGGGCACATGCCTGGGTTGCAGGCCAGTTTCCAGTAGGGGACGCATGAGAGGCAACCATACATTGATATTTCTCTCCCTCTCTCCTTCCCTTCCCCCTCTAAAGATGAATAAATAAAATCTTTAAAAAATATAAAAATAAAATAAAATGTATTTTAAAACTCAGACAACTCATTAGCAAAAAAATATAAATAAGTAAATAAACAATCTAATTAAAAAATGGGCAAAAGATCTGAATAGGCATTTTTCCAAAGAAGACACACAGATGGCCATCAGGTCCATGCAAAGAGGCTCAACATCACTAACCATCAGGGAAATGCAAATCAAAACCAGAATGTCACCTCCCACCTGTTAGGGGGAGAGAAACAACAAGTGTCGGCAGGAACACAGGGAAAAGGGAAACGTTGTTGGTGGGAACGGAAACTGGTGCGGCCCCTGGTGTGGGAAACAGTGGGGAGTTCCCTGGAAGACATTCAAAACGGAACTGTCCTGTGATCCCGCATCCACGTTTCTGGGTATTTATCCAAAAGAAATGAAAACACTGACTCAAAAAGATATAGGCACCCCCATATTTGCAGCAGCATTATTTACAGTAGCCAAGATGTGGAAGCAAACGAAGTGCCGTCGAGAGAGGCGTGGATAAAGAAGTGGTGTGCGTGTACAGTGTACGATCTCAGGCATAAAGAGAATGGAACCTTGCCATTCACCCCACCGGGGCTGGGCCTGGAGGGCATTGTGCTGAGTGAGCTACTGTGGACAGAGGACAGGTGCCCGTATGGTCTCTCTTCCATGCGGAATCTAAAAATAAATAAATCAATAAATAACCACGCTCAGCATACAAAGAGCAGACTGGTAGTTGCCAGAGGTGGGGGCTGGTGGTTGGGGGTGGGGGATAGGAAAAATGGGTGCGCTTTAAAAAAAATTAAAGTAAATTTAATATAAACAGCTAATTAAATGCTGCTCTTTCCTGCCTGTCCTGCCCGGGGTGGGGGGCAGGGAAGAAGGGGGACAGTGGAACGGAGGGGTGGGGGTTCCATATCATGGCGGGGGGCAAATGTTCTGGAGCCTGACCTCCCGGGCCTGCGGCCTGCTCCCACCACTTCTATGCCTTAGCACTCCCGCGAGGGACCGAAGCTTCTCTGCTTGTTTCCTCGAGTGTTAACACACGTGGTGCAGGGCCTGGGGCGTGGGCAGGAAGTGCGTTGTAAGCACTTTGCCTTGTTAGGGGAGGAAGACACTGTGACCAGAGAGCACGTGTGGGCAGAGGGGTTGCGCCAGTGGCTGGACAAATGCCAGCTGTCAGAGGAGACTGCGTTTTCAGCTGAGCCCCCCAGGGCACAAAGAGATGGCTGGAGAGCGGCCTCTGGTCGGCCCAGGCAGGTCGTGGAGGCTTTCACCTGGGATCCTGGAGCCGGAGTGGCCTCTGCAGTCCCTTCTCCTTGGGAAAGCAGAGGCGAGGAGCTTGGATTGCAGCAAGAGAGATTTAGGTTAGATAATGAGACTGCTTTCTTGATGATGGTCAGGGTTTCACATCCTGTGAAAAGGTCACAGATTCTTGGCTTGGAGGCTGGAAGTCATCATGGAGGAGGGCGACAGGAAGGATGGCGGTGAGGCCTGAGGCCCATGTCATGCCAGAGGAGTGGTTCTGCTTTTAGGGCCTCCCGAGCCTGCTGCTGCGAGGACGGGCCTGTGACTGGCACACCTCCCAGGGGAACCTGGGTGGGGCACACCAAGCCTCGGGTCAAACCCGGTATTGAGGGCACGTTCCACTAAGGAGAGAGAGTCCTGTGTGTGTCGGAAGAGGCTGAGGGAGGGAGGCCACAGCTCCCAGGAGGTCCGGGCAGGGCGGGGCGCTAACGCACGCGGCCTCCCGCCCCGCAGGTCTGACCGAGGATGAGGACGTGCACGCCATGCTCCGGGGCTCCCGGCTCTGCAAGATCCGCTCGCGGAGGTGGCAGAAGGAGCGGCTGTACCGGCTGCAGGAGGACGGCCTGACTGTGTGGTTCCAGCGGCGTATCCCGCGTGCGCCTTCGCAGCACATCTGTGAGTTGGGTGGGGTGGACGGGCACCGGCTGGGCTAGGGACAGTGCTCCGGCCGGGACAGTGCCCTGCCAGGCCGCCGCCTGACCCGGCCGCGCGTGGCCGCCCCTCCCCGCAGTCTTCGTGCAGCACATCGAGGCCGTCCGCGAGGGGCACCAGTCCGAGGGCCTGAGGCGCTTCGGGGGAGCCTTCGCACCCGAGCGCTGCCTCACCATCGCCTTCAAGGGCCGCCGCAAGAACCTGGACCTGGTGGCGCCCACGGCCGAGGAGGCGCAGCGCTGGGTGCGCGGCTTGGCCAAGCTGCGCACACGCCTGGACGCCATGAGCCAGCGCGAGCGCCTGGATCAATATCCTGCCCAGCAGAGTGGGGGGTGGGGCCAGCCGGGCCCTGGAGGACCCCAGCCCAGGGGAGGTATGCCCTGTCCTTTGGAGGCCCGCGGCCTGAGCCAGAGTTCCTAGCCCCTTGTCTTCAAAACTAAGGGTGGTGACTCGCCTCCCGACCCTGAGGAGCCCCAGTCCCATGGAGGACAGCTCGCTGCTGCGCGCAGGCAGCCCCTGGGCCCTGCCCTGGGAACCCCCAAAGCCAGGTGGTGGAGATGTGCCTGTCAATTGCCCGTCAGCTGTGGCTGGTTATTTCCTGAGCACCCACACCTGGATCCACTCTTACCTGCACCGGGCGGACTCCAATCAGGACAGCAAGATGAGCTTCAAGGAGATCAAGAGCCTGCTCAGGATGCTGAACGTGGACATGAATGACATGTACGCCTACCGCCTCTTCAAGGTGGGCCCTGCCACCACTGCGACCTCTGACCTCTGCGCCATTGGCCTTCCTCTCCACCCCACTTTTGTGGAGAGAAGGAGGACCTCTCCCAGCAGAAAGGCCACAGCTGGGCCCCCTGACCCTTTGACCCTGTCCTGAGGCAGCGCTGGCCCAGCCTCTCTCCTCCGTCTCAGGCGGGCCCCAGGTCCTCCCCGTCCCTCCCGAGTGAGCAGCGAAGCTGTACTTTTCCTTTCTCTCAGTCCACAGGACACCCTTTGCACAGGTGGCCACGTGTAACTTGCACATGTGAGCAAAGCGGAGAGCCGGCTCCCGGGCACACATGTGCACCCCCTGCACTGGGGCCCGGGTGCCACCTCCACCTCTGGCCTCACAGACGGGGCCCACGGCTCGGGCCCTGCTTCCCTGGCCCGGTCAGAGCACGTGGCAGCCCCCTGGGTGCATGTTGACTGTGCGACTAGCCTGGGACACCTGGCTGTACCCCCGGTCCAGCAGCTCCATGGGGACCTGACCTGGCCCTGGGGCTGCTCGTTGACCCTGGGTAGGAATGGGTGGTGCGAGGGTGGTAACGTGCGCACATCGGAGGGGGAGCTGTGGCATGGGGCTCGGGCCAGCCCCCAAGTCACTGGTTTTCTCCCACACCTGGATTCTTGGGTTAGGTCGTGGTACGGAGGGGTAGGCACTGAACCTGAGGGACCGGCCTCAGCGTCCTGGCCCTGCGGGTCATCGCCCTGCGTGCTCCAGCGGGACCGGAGCCTCGCAGCCCTCAGTGTGCCCACCTGTGAGGCACACCAGCACGGGCCAGCTTTCCCGGGGTGTCCCCTCCTCTGAGTCTGTCCCTCCGTTTTCCAGGAGTGTGACCGCTCCAACAATGAGCGTCTGGAGGGGACGGAGATCGAGGAGTTCCTGCTGCGGCTGCTGAAGCGTCCCGAGCTGGAGGAGATCTTCCACCGGTACTCGGGCGAGGACCGCGTGCTGAGCGCCCCGGAGCTGCTGGAGTTCCTGGAGGACCAGGGTGAGGCTGACGCCACGCTGGCCCACGCCCGGCGGCTCATCCAGACCCACGAGCTCAACGAGACAGGTGCGTGTCTGACAGACGGGCTGCGGGCCGCACAGTCTGGGCCCAGCCCAGTGGGCTCCGCTGTCCCTGGCTGTGGGTGCTGTCTCGGGAAGTTGTCCCGCCTCCTCCAGACTCCGCTGCCACATCTGTAAAATGACATATTAATGTACCTGCCTCCCAGGGTTGGGCTAAAGATGGGACCGGGTAACGTTATAGAGTCCAGTCGGTAGACAGGAGCCCGTTAGTACTGAGTGCAGGGAACTTCGGGGGCGTTTGGGGATGGGTGCAGGGGTCCCCTACGGGGCCTGATGCTGTCTTCTGCCGGTCCCTGCAGCCAAGCAGCATGAACTAATGACGCTGGATGGCTTCATGATGTACCTGCTGTCGCCCGAGGGGGCTGCCCTGGACCCAGCCCACACATGCGTGTTCCAGGACATGGACCAGCCCCTCGCCCACTACTTCATCTCCTCCTCGCACAACACCTACTTGACTGACTCCCAGATCGGGGGGCCCAGCAGCACTGAGGCCTATGTCAGGTATCTAGTGGGGGGTGGCCGTGAGCACTCCTGCGAGCCCAGCCGGGTGGGGAAATGGGGCTCAGCTCCCACCGTGCGCTTCCTGGGCCCACCTGGCTCAGCCTGTTCCCCTCCTCTGCGCCATCCACATCTGCATGACGTCTTGCCTGTCTGTCTGTCTGTCTCTGTCTGTCTGCAGGGCCTTCGCCCAGGGGTGCCGCTGCGTGGAGCTGGACTGCTGGGAGGGGCCGGGAGGGGAGCCCATCATCTACCACGGCCACACGCTCACCTCCAAGATCCTCTTCCGGGATGTGGTCCAGGCCGTGCGTGACCATGCCTTCACGGTGAGCCCAGCGCCCTCTGTCCTTCCGAAAGAAACCTCTGCCCCGAGAGGCACGCACTCACCAGGCGCCGCCTGAGCAGCCGGCCAGTGGGGTAGAGTGAAGCTGAGAGGCTGCCTCCTCCCACCCCACAACTTCCAGAAGACCCTGGGGTAGGGAAGGACGGTTCAGTCGTTCTTCCCAGAGAGGAAGCCATGAGAGAAACTCAGCACGGCATCTACGCAAACCGCCGTCTTGGTAGAACTGCACAAATCTTACTGCCAACAAATGAACTGGGGGGAAGCGTGCATCGTAGTGACAGGATCAATGTCATGACCGTAGAAAGAATATAAGAGAAAACCATCCCTGCAGCCGCCCTCAGCCTCCCAGACAGCCCACCCCTTCCCTGAGGCCTCTTGTCTGACCTCTGCCCCTCCACCCACACACCAACCCCAGCGTGTGTCCCCCGTCCCACTGACTCAGTCCCCCCCACCCCCGCTGGGGGTTCTCCAGAGCCCTGCCTTTGCCCGCCTGACCTGAAGGGGGTGGGGTTGCATGTAGCAGGGGGCCTGGTTGGGGTGGGAGGGGGAGAGGAATGAGTGACTTTGAGCTGCTGCTTCTTCCCACAGCTGTCCCCATACCCTGTCATCCTGTCCCTTGAGAACCACTGTGGGCTAGAGCAGCAGGCTGTCATGGCTCACCACCTCCGCACCATCCTGGGGGACATGCTGGTGACGCAGGCACTGGACTCCCAGAACCCTGAAGAGCTGCCATCCCCGGAGGTGATGCTCCCAGAGCCCCCCACCGGCCACCCCGCTCGTGCCCACTCCCTGGGTCTGGCCCCTCCCCTCTCTCTGCCTTCACCTTGGCCTGCTCCTCCCTTCATCAGACATCTGCCACTTCAGGGTCTTAGCAGTTTCCTGCCCTCCAACTTGGACTAGACCAACCCCCCCCCCCCCCCCCGTCTCGCCTGGCATTCAAGGCCTTCCGTGACCTGGCTCCGACCCCCATGCTCTGCCTGGCTGCCGCCCACAGAGTCCCTATGGCTCAGCCAGTCCTGCCTCCCAGGCCCTGGTTGACACCATCTCCGCCTGGAGCTCCCTTCCGAGCCACCTGGCTTGCCCGGCACCACCTGGTTAGAATTCTAGCCTCTTCCTGTGGCCTTGGAAACCGCCCCAGCATCCTGGCCAGAGGCACTCCTGCCTCCTCTCCCACCAAACCCCTAAGCGTTTATCTGCCCCTCAGGCTATGTGTCCTTTTCTAGCTTCTTGAGAAACCTCTCCTCCTGCTCCTGATCTCAAGTATGTAAAAAATGTTGATTCACCTTTCATGTGTATAGTTTTTTATTGTATAAAAACATACATGTGGTAAAAATTCAAGCTATACACAGGTACACAAAGGAAAACAGCAGGTTCTCGAGTTCTCTCCCAGTTTCCCATGCATGTGAACCTCGGTCCGTAGCCCTCTTTCAAAATGTTACACAGGGAAGGCCATGTGATCCCACGTTCTACATGTCTTCATTCGTGTGAGATCTTGTTTGAAGAGGGCGACTTCTCTTTCCCAAGTTGTCTCCTGCATTTTAATGGTTGCTGTGGAGTATTCTGATGTTTGCCGGGACCTCATTAGCTGGTCCCCTATTCACGGCCTCATAGATCACTCCCCCTTTTTACATTTTTCTATTAGAAACCACTCGTCTTTGAGTCTCTTTTCTGGCCTCTCTCCCCCAGCCAGCCCCTCCTTACACAGGGGTGGCTGAGTGACCGACCTACCCACTGGCTGACCCAGGGGTGAGAGGGCTCAATCCTCCCATATCCGTCTCTGCAGCAGCTGAAGGGCCGGGTCCTGGTGAAGGGGAAGAAGCCGCCCGCTGCCCGGGGCGAGGACGGTCGAATTCTCTCCGACCGGGAGGAGGACGAGGAAGAGGAGGAGGAAGAAGAGGGGCTGGAGGCTGTGGAACAGAAGCGCGGGGTAAGTCGGGTGGGCTGGACGGGGCCCTGTACTGCTGCAGAGACTGGGGCGGGTGGCCGGGGAGGGAAGGATGGGCGTGAGGGCCCCGAGCCGGAGGACCCCCCAGCCGAGCGAGGCCTGTCTCCTAGGCCAAGCAGATCTCCCCGGAGCTGGCGGCCTTGGTGGTGTACTGCTGCGCCGCCCGCCTGCGGACCCTGGGCCCTGCCCCTGCGCCGCCCCGGCCCTGCCACGTCAGCTCCCTCAGCGAGCGCAAGGCCAAGAAGCTCATCCGAGAGGCAGGTAGGAGCTGGGGATTCCTGACGATGGTCTGGGAAGGAAATCGAGAGGGCTTGGGGGCAATGAAGAGGTCGGGGGGACCCCAGAGGGGGGACGGGTGTGCAGCACGTGGCCAGCACCAGGTCCGCAGGCGTGGAGGGGAGACCGCCCAGGGAGCTGGGGGGTCTGCTGTCTGCCCTCCTCAGGCGCACAGCCCAGTGGTGGCGCTGGGTGATGACGATGTTGGGGTGCAGTTGGGCCATGACAGGGACTGGGGGGGAGGGCAGCAGAAGGGGGTGAGATCGGGGGAAGATTCCTGGACGAGTCATGGCTGAGAAGACACCTGGCAGGAGGACGAGGAAGCAGCTGGGTGACTGGGTTGCACAGGGGGAGCCCGGGGCGCGGCACACAGGGAGGGTCCAGGAAGTGGGGTGCTGGAGGGTGCGTGTGGGTGTGCCCAGAGCCGGGGTGTCCGCCTGGAGCCAGGCGTTCCAGCGCTGAGTCAGGAGTGTGGGAGGCGGACCCTGCCCCTCCCTGGACTTCAGCAACCTCCTCCTGAGGCTCCCCCACCCAGGTCAGAGAGGAGGAGCTGGAGCAGGGCAAGCTGGGGATGGGAATTCAGCCTCTTCCCAGCCTGTCTGCCCCGGGGGAGGGGTTACAGGCCCTCCAGGTGAGGGACATCCCAGGAGCCTGTAACGATGGCACCCGGACTTCCCACCAGGGAACAGCTTCGTCAGGCACAACGCCCGCCAACTGACCCGCGTCTACCCCCTGGGGCTGCGGATGAACTCGGCCAACTACAGCCCCCAGGAGATGTGGAACTCCGGCTGCCAGCTGGGTGAGTAAGGCGGAAGGGCGGCCGATGCTCTGAGGGCGGCCCCCAGGGTACAGGGCAGGCCCCCGCAGTGATAGGTGGAAAAAGTGTTTAAAAAAAATTTGCCCTGTGGCTGGTGTGCCTCAGTGGATTGAGCACGGGTTGAGAACCAAAGGGTCGCCGGTTCAATGCCCAGTCAGGGCACTTGACTGGGTTGCAAGCCAGGTCCCCAGTGGGGGTCAGGTGAGAGGCAACCCAGCGAACATTATGTTTCTCTCCCTTTCTCCCTCCCTTCACCTCTCTCTGAAAATAAATAAAATCTTTAAAATTTTTTGTTGATTTTAGAAAGAGAGGAAGGAAGAGAGAAATATCAATTTGTTGTTCCACTTACTTACTCATTTATTGCTTGATTCTTGCACGTGACCTGATGGGAAACTGAACCCACAACCTTGGTGTATTGGGACAGTGCTCTAACCAACCGAGCTACCAGGCCAGGGCCAAGAGTGTTTTGTTGATAATAACAATTACTAAAGAACTGTGAGCAGGGCCCTGGCTGATGTGGCTCTTGCATTGAGCACCAACCTGCAAACCCAAAGGTTGACAGTTCGATTCCTGGTTGGGGCACGGGCCAGACCCCCAGCTGGGGGCGTGCAAGTGGCAGCCAGTCAATATTTTTCTTCCTCTCTTCCTCCCTTCCCTTCTAAAAATAAAAAATAAATGTTTAAAAATCTCGAGCAGGCTCTGTAGAAGTTGAAACTCCCCACGCCCCATGTGCACCTTTGGCACACACATGCACACGGGTCCCCAGCAATCCCAGGCAGAGCCCCCCAACTGGGCTGGATGGGGTGGGGTGGTTGGGCGGGGGTGTGGAAACCTCAGGCCTCGGTCCTGGGCGCTTCTCCAGCGTGCCCCACATTCCAGTCTCAAGTGACACCAGCTGGCCGAGCAGGCGGGATCCCTGGCTGCCGTGACCCGGCCCCCACACCACAGTGGAGGGGCGGCACACCCCTGCCAGTAGGGCCCAGGGTCCTCTTTAGACAGGGACTGAGTCCTCTGCCTACGGTCTGTCTGGGGGGGGGGGCAGTGAGAAGGCCACTAAGAGCTCCTGTCCTGACCCCACTGTGTCCACAGTGGCCCTGAACTTCCAGACGCCAGGCTACGAGATGGACCTCAACGCCGGGCGCTTCCTCATCAACGGGCAGTGCGGCTATGTCCTGAAACCCCAGTGCCTGCGGCAGCCTGACACAGACTTTGACCCGGAGAGCCCGGGACCCCCCAGAACTACTCTCACGGTGCAGGTTGGCAGCCCGGGCCACGCCCTGCACTGGGCTTGGAGCTGGCTCTGGAAGCCCTCGTTCTCGGGGCGCCAGCCTGAAGTAGAGGAAGGCAGTGGAGGCGGGAAGGAGGTCAGAGTCCTGGGTGGGTGCAGAGAGCAAACCGGGAAACAGCAGAGGCCGGGCTGAAGCCCCTCCCCATCCCCCACAGGTGCTGACTGCACAGCAGCTGCCCAAGCTGAATGCAGAGAAGCCCAGCTCCATCGTGGACCCCCTGGTGCGTGTTGAGATCCACGGGGTGCCCACGGACTGTGCGCGCAAAGAAACCACCTATGTGCTCAACAACGGTGAGTGCGCCTGCTGGCGGGGTGGGGGGGCAGGCGGAGGATACAGGGCGCCGCAGGGCGGGGCCCGCTGGCTCTGACAGCCAAACCTATCTGCGCCCCAGGTTTCAACCCCCGCTGGGGGCAGACCCTGCAGTTCCAGTTGCGGGTCCCCGAGCTGGTGCTGGTGCGGTTCGTGGTAGAAGATTACGACACCACGTCCCCCAACGACTTTGTGGGCCAGTTCACACTGCCTCTCAACAGCCTGAAGCAAGGTTGGTGGGACGGGTGGGCACGAAGGAGGAACAGGCGCCACTGTTCCCGAGCCGGACGAGTTGGGCCTCAGCCCCCAGGGGTGGGGAGTGGGCTGCGCCCTGCACTGCCCTACAGGGTGGCGGGTGGCAGACCCGATGCCTGGCTCCTCTCCCCACAGGGTACCGTCACATCCACCTGCTTTCCAAGGACGGGGCGTCTCTGTCACCAGCCACACTCTTCGTCCACATCCGAATCCAGCACTCCTGAGGCCTGACTGACCCACCCTGGGGATCTGCGGACACCAGTCTGCATGCCGCGCACCGCAGAGGCCTTCTCCCCCAGGTGGCGGGAGGACCAGCCCCTGCAGCACTTCGCCGGCTCGCCAGGCTCAGCCTCGGCCCCTCCTGAAGAGCTGGTGGTTGACCTTTGCCTGGCAGCCCTGATAAGGGCCCCAGCTCCTGGAGTCCTTGGCCCACCCACACTGTGGCCCAGGAAGAGCCAGGCCTGCTGCCACCAGGAGCCAGAAGACCCGGGAGCAGGATGTAAGCGCCTCATCCCTTCTGCCCCCCACCCAGGTTCCCCTGGACTCCTCCCTCCAGCTTTGGAACCTGAGCTCCTGTTGTTGAAGCCAGATGAAGAGAGGAGGTTGGGAGCCCTGGGGACACCAAGAAGTAGGTTTTAGTTTGTGACACAGAAGAGCCCTGGAGAGAACAGGAGAACAAGACTATTTTTAAAAATAAAGAAGAAAATTCCTTTACCACTGCCACTCCAAGCACCTGAGGCCACAGCCAGGCTCATGAGGAGGGACAGGGGCAGAGGCCCTTCCGCAGGAGCCACGTGACTTTCTCTAAGACCATCAGTGGTGCTGGAGGAGCCCCCACGGCTCAAAAGAGCCCCCAGCCCTCTTAAAGCTGCTGCCAGCATCACAGACTGCGAAGATGCCAAGTGCAAGCTGCCCGCACCAACCCTCGGAGGGGCCTTCAGTGGGGAGGCAGCTGGGTGGCCCTCTGCCGGGACAGAGCTGTTACAGCCCCGCAGGGTGGGGGCAGGCCCCCAACTTTCTGGGCTCGGTGGGGCAGACAGATCCCAGAAACCCAGGGCTCGCCCTCCACCAGCCAAGCAGCCTTTCAGATGAAGGCCTGGAGGCTGTGGCTGCTCCCAGCTGCCTCCGAAGATGCTAGGAGAGCGAACCCAGAGAAAACAGGCAGAAAGGTGTTTTTCTAGGGTTAAAGGTGGGGCCCTGCCACCTGCCTGTCAGGCCGCACGCTGACCCTGCACAAGGACAGAGCTGGACAGCAGCTCCCTAACGCAGGTCGTGTCCCCTCAGACTGCAGCTCCGAGCCCAGGTTCCCCGGAAGGGGGCTCAGAGGCACCAGCCATGGGGTCTGGAAGGAGCACAGGGTCAGGGAATGAACGAACAGTTCTGGAGGAGGCCCGGCCGGCGTGGCTCACCTGGCTGGGCGGCGTCCTGTAAACCGAAGGCGCAGGTGTCGACCCCCAGTCAGGTATGAAGTATCAGTGTCTCTGTCACACTGATGCCCTCCCTCCCCTTCTCCTCTTTCTAGTCAATAAGCATGTCCTCAGTGAGGATAAAAAGTTGTATGTATTAAAAAAGTATTTAAAAATATTTTTAAAGTTCCAGAGGAAGACAACAGGGAGTGGGAAGTCCGAGGCAGTGCCCCAGGCCCCTCCGCAGAAGCCGGCTCAGCAGGTGGGCAGTGGGGCCGCTGGGCTGACCTGCGGTGGTGAAAGCAGCCCCGGTGGCTCAACAGGCCCACCTGATCGAGCGGCAGGGGACAGTGCCTGTCCCGGACCGAGGGGCTGACCTCCCAGCTGCGGAAGCCCGGCCTGGGACTGGCGCCTCTGCCAAGGTGCCCGGTGCAGGCACAGAGCCCGGCTGCTCCCCGTTGGCAGAGTGAAGCTGGGTCAGTACTGGCTCCTCAGCGGTGGGTGCGGGTCTGGGAGAAGGGCCCAGTCTGCCGAGTGTCTTCGGGAGCGCCCCGTGCTCTGGCCACAGGAAGAGCCTTTCCCACAGGGCACTCACTCTCAGGGGGAGGGGCCCTCTAGCCCCCACAGCTCCGGCTGCTCCCCACCACCTGTGGTGCAGAGGAAAACCAGGAGGGCAGAAGGGGTTTATTCAGTTGTTTCCTTTATTAGAAACAAGTGAGATGTATCAAGCGGAACAAGGCAACGCCTCCCCCACCCTAGAAATGGATGCCCCGCCCGCAGCCCCGAGAAAAGCCAAGACAGAAAGGTGAAGCTCCCCCTTCCCTGTTCCCAGACGCAGCACCTGCCTGCAGCCAGTATTTTTTAACTTAATTGAATGAAACTGGCCCACAAAAGCTCCCCAGGGACAGTCTCTTGGCCGGGCTGCTTTCACTTGGCAATGGGGTAGAACCCAAGCCTTGGGTCTCCTTGGCAGGAGACCTCCTTGGCAGGTGGGCACTGGCCAGAGATACACTCCCAGCCCCCTCCCCTGGTCAGACAGCCCTGCCCCTGCTTCTAGACTGAACCCTGAAGCCGTCTGGGCCTTTGGGCCATCCCTTGGTTTGGCTAAATGCTGATCATCTCTGAGCAAAGAAGTAAAGACCACTGGGTCACCCACCCTTGGGCCTCAGTGAGCTGGGGAGTGGGGGCAGGGAGGGGATAATGGCAATTAGAAGGGAGGTGCAGGCAAGGTCCGAAGTGGCTCGGTGCGGGCCAGCCTTCAAACCGGAGGTCAGCATCTACAAAATTAGGCATGTGTCAGGAAACGAGCCCTATACAGACCTCTGTCCAGAACCCAGGCCTCCTTCCTCCCCAGCTCTCTCCCTACAGAGACTGGAGGCCAGGGGAATGTGCCACGGGGTCAGGGGTCAAATGCAGAGTCAATCCAAAGGCAGGAGATAAACATCCAGACACACAGGAGTCCAAAAAGCTGGCGCCAGCACGGAGCACTGGTGGCACAGAGTAAGGGCCGTGCCCAGGAGGCTGTCCACCGGTAGCTGCCCGGGGCAGGTCCCGGGGCAGGTGGCCCCAGGTCCTTCTCTCATTTGGTTCTAGCCAGCCGCGGCTCCACCACCCTGCCCCAGTCAAGGCTCCTTGTGGGGAGGCCTTGAACCCCAAACAATGGTTCTCTCTGAGCGTTCTGACCTGAAGTCCTGGAAGGGGCTGAGTGAAGAACCCAAGGGCTGTATGGACTAAAAGGAGGCTAACACAGCAACTGCCGAGCCGACTCCCAGAGACCTGGGTGGTTAACACTGAGGGTGGGGCAGGATCCCCACCATGAACTAGAGAGTCCAAGGAGCAGGCCATGCGGTTTTGGAGAGAGACACCGAGGCCTTTCCAGATCCGTTTCTTCAGGAGCAGCCACAGGCCTCACGCCTCACAGTTTCCATTCCATGACCTGGGTCAGCCATGGCCAAGCTCTCTCCAGGGGCTGCTGAGCACCCGCAGTACACAGGTAGTTCGGGCTGGGCCTCCTCTCCCAGGGAGTGTTTCCAAGTTCCAGGTCCTGCCCAAGGTAGGAAAGAGGCAGGCACTTTGTTCTCTGATATCCTTAGAAGCCTGAACAGGGCGGGCCACTCAGGGACTCGGGGCGCTGTGTCTGACACCTGGAAGGCTGGAAGGCAAGCCCCTGCCTCTCCGACTCCTCCTGTCTGTGGAATGCGGTGAGTGTCTTGCTAAGAACAGCAGCTTCTTTGGTCTGGGTATCTTGGAGCCAAGGAGTCAAAGGCCAGCCGTGCGCTCTGGGGCCTGCAGGCTGCCGCACAGGCACACAGGAGAAGGGAGGCCTCTGCGGGCCTCTTCCGGAAGTCCAGTCCGGGCTGCAGAGAGCGGGCAGCGCTCCGGCAGGTGGCACAGCCCCTCTCCCGAGCACACGGTTTCCTCCAGCTTTGGGGACTGCAGAATTAGCCTCTGGCAAACCTCACCAAAACCCACACCCTGAAACCCAGCTCTGCTGGCCTACAGAGCCTGGCTACGACTCCCTTTCCCCTGCAAGCAGCCCAGAGGTGAAAGCAGCCAGGAAAGCCCTGAGCCATGCCCTCCACCCACTCACTTTCTCCCACAGCAAAAGTTACACAGAAGCCAGGACATGGGTTGCTGACAATTCCACGGCCCGATCCTCCCTAACACTCGGCTGAGCACAAATGAGGGACACCTGCACAGCCACGAGCCTGGAGGCTCCACCCCTGGCGGGGAACCTGGCAGCATCCAAAACCGTAACCACCACCACCAAAAAAACCCACCAAACATCCTCAGTGAAAGTCACCCTAGGACAATGGCAACACAGAGCCATTTCTGTTGCCACGTACAGATCAGCGTCTAACCACCACTCCCTGCCATTCCTTGAATTTTGTGTAGTCTTGGAAAGGCGCCCAAGAGATGGCCAATGGGTTGGAAGGCACAAGCCAGGGACTGGTGGCTGCAGGGACCTGGGAATCGGCCCCACACCACCCTTGCCCAGCCAGCCCCAGGGGCGTCAGGGTGCTGGCTCTTTGCCCTAAGATGAGCTAAACAGGGATTGCACTGACATGGTCTCCTCAAGATCTCAAATGCTACAAGGAGGTCAAAAGTCCCCTTCAAATTGCCAGTCACCCGTGGGAGTGGAAAAAGTCTCTCAGGGTACTTGTGCCTATAAGTTTGGCAACAGCTGGCTAAAGAGTTGGCAGGACTTCCAACAGGGAGCAGGCCAAGAGGATGGAAGGACTCAACAAACCCTGCTTCCCCAGGTCGCCACAGCCGCCCAGTTTCTGAGTGCAGAAAATGCCCAGGGCCTGCAGTCAAGCCTCTGAGTAGGGCCGGCCCCACCTAGGACTCTGTGATCTGACACCTGAGCCCCCGCTCCAAGCCTGGCGCAGTCCCTCCACTGTACCCCACCCTCTCGAAGCCAACCTTTCCAGCCAGTTCAGAAGGGGAAGTAGATAAACTGCCCCACATTCTCTTTCTCCTGCTCCCCCAGGAAAAGTCAGTGCCCGCTCTCAGAAGGAAGTCATTCACCGTACCAACGTGTACGTATGGCACTGTCCTTGATTCTGATTTTGAGGAATGACCTGGATTCAACTTTTCACTGGAGACCAAACATCCTTGTACATTTGGAACATGAAAAATATTTAAAATATTTATATATATAATATATATACTTTTATTATTCACCCGTTAACTCCATAATACGCCAATCACGAGCCAGTTTTCAGCAGCTACATTCCCTTGATCTCGGCTGCATAAGGGTGTGACTAACTGGAAAACAGGGACACCAGAGACACGGCCGAGGCGACATCGCGCAGCCCACGCCATCACAATGCAATTGTCAAATCCAGTGGCTGTTTGGTAAAGCCGGTTCGCTTCTGTTCCCTTTGCCAGGGATTCTCACGTTTGTGAAAATTGGACCAACAAGTGGTAGGGTTCCATTTCCTGGTTTGAATTCCCAGTGGCTTTATCCAGAGTCGCACTGGCAACTGGTTACTGTAACACCAGCCCAACCTAGGAGAGCCAATGGGGATAGGCATGGTTGAGTGACAGGAGTTCAGAGCCTCTCCCACTTTCCCACCCCAATCCGAAGGGCCAAATGACAGCCCCCAGAGCGCCACCGGGCGGTATGAGCAGAGGCACAGCCAGCCAAGGCTCACGCTCAACCTCCACTCAAGGCTTCATGCACTTACCACACACCCTTTAAGGAGAGCCACTGCTAGCCACCAGGCCTCCCTCCTGCAGGCAGTTATTCTACAACCACTGGCCACACCCATGGCCCTGGGCTCCCTTTGGAGCTGGTGGAGGGACCGTTGGAGAGGGTCCAGCAGCCCAGCAGAGAAAAAAGTCTTCAAACCTCTAACTCTAAACTCCTGGCGAACCGTGGGCAACTTGGCCTGCACAGTTCTGGGTGGCTCCGGAGCCCACCCCCTTTGCCACCCTTACACTGGCTGCTAAAAGGGCAGCACCGACCCTGCCCTCTGGCCATCAGAGGAAGGGGACTTTGTGGGGGGCTGAACACCAGCTAACCAGGGCCCAGGCTGATGCGGGACCCCTGACCTGGGGCCCTGTCTTTGCTCCACCAACTCCCTGCCCGGCTGCTCACCCACCTTCTCTGCCCCCATGCTGGGGCACTTCCAATTGTAGAGATAATACTGCAGGTTGCCGTCCCCTATGCCAAACTTGAGCTTCTCCAAGAAGGTTTTGTTCTCCATGAGATCCAGTGCATTGAACACGTCAAACCCTTTCTGCAGAGCAGCAGGGAGTGAGAGGAACAGGTGAAGAGAAGTCGAAGCTGCCTCGCTCCCTGCCCTTTCCGGTCCTGCCAGAACCGCTCTGTAGGCTGTCAGAGAGCTATCTTCCTTGCGAAGCTCCGGCTGCTTCCACATTAAATCCCAACTCCCACCAGTGCCCGCTCGCTCGTGACAGCTCTCAGGACACTTGTGGCCACTCTACCTGGCCTCTCCTTAGTGCCCCTCCAAGTACACTTGTCCAGGCCACTGCTCCCGCTGTTCCTTGTTGAATCTCCCTGAGACACCCTAGTAATCTGCATAGTCCTCTCTGGAGATCAAGCCCTGAGCCCCCATCTCGGAGAAGTGGCTCCTGTCAGCACTTGCATTGCTCTCTCAGTCCCTGGACACCCCAACTCCTAGGCCTTGGGTGCACACCCTGTGACTTCACGACACCCAATACGCTGCTTTGGGACTGTGGTGAAGGTGCCTCCTACATCTCACCACACCGCTCCCAGGACAGGGACTGGAATGGCCATCGCCTGGCTGGCCCACGGTGGCTGGGCTACGGGTAGCACCCATGGTGGAGGACTGACTATAGGTGACCTTGCTGTGTAAAAGAAGCCTGGACCCTCCCCCGCCTCTATAGTCAGCAGCTCCAATGACTCACCACGACAGAGACCAATCTCCCCATTCCCATGCTGGGGAAGTCGTAAGGAGAACCCCTTTCCTGCCCGAGCAGGCCTGGCTATTCAGGCTCCTTGGCAGCGCCTCCCGTGAGAACGAAACTCACTGAAATAAATCAGGAGGAGTTCAATGCCTTCACTTCACATGGATGCTCCTTGCTCCCTCCTAGTTCCTCACTGCTCAAAACTGCTGAGTCCTCCCTGAGTGGAGCAGGAGGGCATGGCAGGCTCTCAGCCCCCAGCTCCTGGCAGCTGCCTCCCTGAGCTGTGCTCACCGCCATTCCACTGCCCCTGCCCACGGGTCTCCCAGCCCCCGCCCTGATCTGCTCCTCACCATTTTGGCGAGAACAAGGGCGTCACTCATGAGGTCTAGAAGAGGGGTCTGGGTGTGGACGTTGTAGAAAGAATAAGCAGCCTTCAGACTCTTGTGGGTCGGATGGTTCATGATGGTGGAGGGAAGCGTGTAAAAGCTCAGAAAGTCTGTCACTTCACCATTTGCGTTCTGAAAGAAAAGACAATGAAAGGAAGCAATGTCACACACGCACAAAACTCCTGTAGCCTGGGAACAAAATATTTCCTCTTGCTCTCATGCCACCCACGGGTGCCCCCCTAAAAGAGTGGGTGGAGACTGAAACAGAACATGCAGGGAGAAGAAAATACACTGGTCGGGGCACTTGAGGACAGAGCCGGGAAGAAAATCCAGGCCAGGCTGTAGTCCGAATCCGTCAGCTGTCTTTCCTGGCCTGTGCGCTGCCAGGGACATCCTGCAGTCCACACTCCCCCAAACTGTGACCCAAATGCTCAGGCGGCACCACCTCAATCCGGGACAGGCAGGGGCTGCAGGCTTACCTCAGAGGGGCTCCGTTCTCTTGGTCACCAGTGGGGGCTGGGGGTGGGGGAGGGACAAGGGCCCACACCAAGTCCAGAGGGTATCGTTTCAGCGAATGCAAACTACAACTCCACTTTCTGACTTAGGGAGGGCCGAGCACGGACGGTCAGGGGAGTCTGGGCGCCCACACCGCCGCCAACTGGCTCTGTAGTCCCTGAGCCTAGAAACGCAGCCGCCTGAGGAGAGCGCCTGCGTGTGAGCGGTCAGAAGGCCGAACCGCCCTTCCCCGCTCACCTCCACCACGAAAGTGTCGATGATGTTCTCCTGGGGGTAGAACCAGTGCTGCACCTCCTCCTGGCTCATGACTGGCGTGAGGTGAAACTGCTTCAGGTACCTGGTGAGGAGCTGATGCACTACTGGAATGTCCTTCTTCTCCATTGGTCGCAGGCCAGGAGTCTTGGGAGACTGGAAGGAAGAAAAAGACTGCATCAGACGCACTGCTGACTGTGAGCTTCTCGGCTCCTCTCAGGTCCTGTAAGTGCCAAAACCTTCACACTGACCCCTTCTTACCCAACCCTAAATCTACCCAGGCCCTCAAAACAGACTACTCGGCCACCCTTGGTGACGCCCTCTCCCCCATGTCCACATCCACTGGGCACAAGGCCTGCTTCTCCAGTGTCTTTTGGCCCTTCCCTCCTAGTTAAGGCTGTTGCTTCAACTTCTTTTTTTTTTTGTCTGGCCCGGCCTCGCACCCGCCGGCAGGATTATCCATAAGGCTCACGCTGTCTTTCTAAGAAACATGACCCCCCCCACCCCACCCCCGTTCCAAACTCCTCAACACGGAGCACAAGACCTTCCACCCTGGACTGGCTGGCTGTTCTGACTGTGCCTCTCACCCCCGGAGGACATTTGGTAACACCAGGAGACATTTCTGGTTGTCACAAAATGTGCTGCTGGCATCCAGAAGCCAAGGATGCTGTTAAAACATCCTACATGCCTAGGAGAGTCGCTAGGACAAAGAAGTACCTGGCCTGCCCTGGTTGGTGTGGCTCGGTGGATTGAGTGCTGGCTGTGAATCAAAGGGTCGCTTGTTCGATTCCCAGTCAAGGCACAGGCCTGGGTTGTGAGCCAGGGCCCCAGTAGGAGGTACACGAGATGCAACCACACATTGATGTTTCTCTCCCTCTCTTTCTCCCTTCCTCCCCCTCTCTAAAAACAAATAAACTCTTAAAATAAAATAAAGTAAAATAAAAAAATAATTACCCAGCCCAAAATGTGAGAGGTGCCAAGACGGAGAGAAAGCCTGAGCACCCCAGCACTGCTGCCGGGCTGCAGCGAAGCCACTCCCGACTGCCCCTCTCTGAGCCCTCCCAGCTTCTCCCATCGCACCGCAGCTGGTCTTGTCCTGCACCGGCCCCTCCCCTGCAGACTCAGAGCGCCTCAGGCGGGCTCCCAGCTGCAGGCAATGAGCCCCCAGCCCAGCACACTGGACTGGGCACTCGCTTTGCCCACCTGGACCCCACTGCGCAAGCAGTCCCGACAGAACATTCATGCAGATTAAATTCAGGAGAGAAGCATCAAACTCCTGGAACTTAATCTCAAACCAGAATCCCACACCAGGACTTTTCTTAAAAAGTGCTCCAGTGGAACAACACTGTATGGTGCTCTGAAGGAAATACTGAGGCTGGGAAAGTACCCCAAAGGCCCAATCCGCAAAGGTGGGGTCAGCCAAATCTGAAAACAGGGTAAACCCTCACTGCTCAGTCACTGCCTGATGTAACGGCTTCCCAGTGTAGGAACTGCTTTCGGAACAGTTCTAGGGCCTCTCACTGCCAAAATCCCTCGCTAATCCTGATGTCTCCGGGGAACACTTACTGACTTATTTCTACATGGCAGCTCCCACAGTGATACCTCAAATCCTGGACTAGCAATGCAGCCATGCTGCGGTCTGCACCCACAGGCAGAGATCCAGAGAGAGTCTTTACCCTTGGCTGCCACGCACCTTAAGAATGCTCTCTGCCCACCTAGAAATCAGGGCAAAGCTGCCATAACAGAAAGAAGACACACACCATGGCCCCTCAAATGTTTTCACTGGGGCAGTGTCTAATTGCGCTGCAGCGGTCCCTCAAAATGGGACACTGATGACCCCAACCCACTGGTGGATTAGCCCGATCCTGGGGAGCAACCAGCTGGGTGGCTGAGGAGTCCAGCCCTCTGATAAGCAGGCAGCCTGTAACTCAGTGGTCCCACCTGCGGGAGCTCGGAGGGAAGAGAAGCAATCTGAAGACACATCAGGACCCTGAAACCAGGCACAGCTGGAGAATGTGCAGCATTTGTTTTGTTGGGAAACTAGGCAAACTGAGGCCCAGAACAGGAACCAGCTCACTGCAGACGGCCCAGTCCTTCGACGGCAAAGTCTGGACGGGGTACTGGGGTTGGAGTCTGGGCCTCCTCATGAGCCCGGGTCACCTGGCGTGGCAGAGGGAGCCACAGAAATGCTATGGCTGATTTACACCGCACCCTGGGATGCACTGCCGTTCGGTGAGTGGCTGCACCTTCCTACCTAGGCCACACGTGCAGGAAAGCGGTATCCTCTCAGCCTTTCCACAACGACAGAGAAGCTAGCCCAGCTGCAGGCGCACGGGAACAGAGAAAGGCAAACTAAAAACACTTGCTAAAAGTGTTTCCATTGCTCTTAGAAGCAATGGAAATGGAAAGTCTAGGAATCTGGAAAACATGGGGTGAGCCAGTTTTGTGTCCCCTCCCTAACTCAAAGCCCTGTTCCCTTCCGAGGACCAGGCTCCCCTCAGCCACTCCCCTGCCCCTCCCACAGCCCCAGAGCACCACTGGCCTCTGGCAGTCGGTAGAGCTTCATGGTGCGCTGCATGGTCATGTTTCTGCTTAAGTGGGAGAACTTCACTTCAATCAGCTTTCGTGGGTTCAGGGACCGATGCCAGTACCTGTGGGGACACAAATGCACTGTCCTCAGAGAATTCTGGCAAGTGCCATTAAGAGGACAATGGCATGGAGACTCCCAGATGGCCAGCAGGTGGCACAAGAGACACGTCTCTTGAGCCAGCAGCAGTGCCCAGCTCTCCAACCCCAATCACCCCACCACCACCGCCACAATGAATGCAGCAGAGCTGCCAGAGCTCTTCCGGGATTTCCTTTCTCCCCATGTTTATTTTTCAGTTGGAAAACCTCCTGCTACAGGAGCTGTCCGGGAAGAGCACTGCCCACTCCTGGAATCAAGTCTGTGGAAATGCAGCGCAGTTCTCTGTGCGTCTTTACCCTCCTCCTCCCTCCTCCACGGCATCTGTTTGGTGCTTTCACTTCTGAAGTCCTGGATTGTTGTGAACAACTTTCCAAGTCAGAGGTTCTTCCTGGGTCACACAGGGATCAGACACGCTCTCTGGGGCCCACACAATATTCAAAACAAAACTGAGCCAACCATGAAAACTTCTGCACATTTACCATAAAAATCCAGATTTGGACTTATCCCTAACAACTGAAACAAAACCTGGCAGACTGATCCCTTTGGACAGGGTACACTTTCCAGTCTGCTGTTCCTATAAACTCCTCACCTCTTCACACTCCATCCCTGGCTCCTGGGGGCACCCACAGCCCCTCTTATCAGACACCCCCTCTTATCAACATGCTCTTGGGTGGAGGCAGAGCCCTGACAAACAGTGACACAGGCCCTGGCCCAGAGCAGACGCGCCACAACTCCCAGGGCCTTGCAGGAAGAGACTGTTACCTGCAGGTGCCTACAGGCTTTGGTAATACCACTCCGGCAGTGTAAACAGCTTGGAAAATGCCCTCCAAATGAACCCGCCGGGTGATCTCACGGATCAGGACTGGAGCCACCCTCTTGGAACGCAGCTTCTTGTGAACACACAGGAAGTTGATCTCCACCATCTTCTTCTCTCTAAAGAGGGAGGAACAAAAGTGATGAGGCTTTCATCAGGTAAGGCAACCCCTTCAAGCACACACCCCACCCCCGCAGAGACCGGGCCTCCAGCACGGGCAGGTGTTCAGCTGCCACCTGCCCTCAGCGGTCAGCACTCGGGCTCCCTGCCGCTCTGCCCCACCAGGCACGGAGCCACTGTCTCCCCAACACAGACTCTCCCTGCAAAGGTCAAGTGGGACTCAAGCAACTGCTTATCCTAAGGCACTGCCAGCATCTCCAAGGGCTCTGCAGTGGCAGGCTGGGGGAGCCCCACCTTTGGCAGTCCGGGAAACTCACAAAGTCAAGGGTATTCTAGGACTGCATGGGTTTGACACCAACAGGAACCCATGGCCTATGAACCCAGAAGACCGCAGCAGGAGGCTCCGACATTTCCAGGGAGAAGGAAAAGCTCCAAGGCCCATCACCGTCTGAGTGAGAGTCACACCGGCTCCAGCCTATTGCTGAAGCTGCTCCAGTGCATCAATGTGTGACTAGTACAAGTGAGGACACTGAGCTGCTTCTCAGAGAGGGAACTGGCCTTCAGCATGGTCCTCTTCCAGCCCAGGTCCCAGACAAGAGAACCAGCAAAACTTCAGAGTAAAACAGGCCGTTCTTACTATGGGTATCTATTCCCAGGGCCTGAGTTCCCTCCCTTCATGGGACCGTCCCTCTTTCTTTTGTGGAAGGCGTATGTACCTGTTTTTCTCCCCCTCCCCCACAGACTGAGCAGGATGGTGGGGATGTGGGAGTTGGGAGACGGTGCTGGTGCTTACGTGTCATAGATGTGGATGTTTGCTGGGATGGCGCTGATGAACCCAACCAGCTTCCGACTTGAGACCACTCGAACCCCACAGTGCCACTGGGGGAGCCAGCCCGGTGGCCGGAGAGCCCTGGAACAGACAAGAGTTGCCGCTGCTCAAGACCCGCCGAGCCGAGTGTGGTTCTAACCGCCTGCTCCCACTTCCACGGGGGTCAGCACCTGAATTCTCCTGAGGGACAGGCCTCCTGGACGCAGAAGGAACTGAGCCACACTCTGCGCTGTTCGGCCCTTGCGGCCGACTTCCCCACCAATCCAAGGCTGCCACACCGAAGTTTTATGCCCAATGCAATGTCTTTAAGCTCACTCTAACAGCTTAAGCCAGAGGACAGGACGCCTCAGCTCTTAGTCCAGTGGGTCCCGTGGCTGGGAGCCGCCCGGGAAGCCCCCGGGGCACTGGTCTCGCCCCACCACTGCCCTCTCCCTGCCTGCCCGTTCTGCCTTTCCCTCCCGCAACAGGCAGCCCCTCTACATTTCTGCCTTTCCAGATACTGAACGTGGCCTGGGATGATGGCCCAGCCAGGCAAGGCCGTACAATTGTGGAATATACTCTGGAACTGCATGGAAAATGACTCTTCTAATTTAAAAAAAAAAAATCTTAGTAGCTTTCATCTCTCCTTCCCTTCTTACATAAAGTCGCCATACAACAGATGATCTCTGCTCCTGGCTAACAATTCCACAAAGCCCCCCTCACCCAGTCATTCTGTCTTAAATAAGGTTTCTATCCTAAGCTCCACCAGGAGCAAGTCTCCTCCCGACGCGGGAACCCAGAAGTCACACACCAACGTGCCACTCAGAGGCTGGCTCAGTGGGGTGGAAGCTCTGATGCCCGCGGCGGGTCTGCCCGCCGCCTCAGCGGAGAGCCGTAAGGAAGCCCTCACAACTCACCACAGGAGAAATTCCGGGGAATAGTCAAACCGAAACATGTTGTCATCATCTTCCACGTAATTCTCATTCAGGAGGGTATATAATTCTTTCAGCTGTGGAGAAACAGGTGCTGCCTTAGTGGTGTTCTACCGGGCAGGGGCCGACTCCACCACCCGGGGCTCCGTGTCTGCTGAAGGACGAGGCAAACGACCACAAGCTGTGTTTGCTCTGATCATCCTTTCCAGCCCGGGTATGGCAGGGACTCTTCTGGAATGAGCACCCTGGCTGTAACAGAAAACTGAGCCACTGAGGGGTAGAATGGCAGGCTCAAGCACACAGAGTGGCAGATGACCGAGAATGTCACCCAAGTAACCAACCACTCCCTCGTTAAGACAAGGGAATGAATGAACGAACAGGAAAAAGGAAAGCATGAGAAGAGGGTATCCACCTTGAGAGCTACAGAGAGAAGCCCAGTGCTAGCTCTGAAGGCTTGGCTAGGCCCCAGGGGCAAGCCACGCAGGGGTCAGCTCAGACCTGTTCGGCTCAGCTCTTCGGAGAGCCCTGGAAGAAGGCCTGGGCAGCAGCTGTCTCTGTGTGACTGCAGGGCTCCCGTGAAAGGGGCGCCCGGTCCACTGTGGCCTGCCCGGGCCTACTCACCACACCACGGTCCCCCAGGTCCAAGGCATCCCAGGTGAAGCCCTGGGGCAGGGTGTACGGCTCCTGGCGGATGTTGTCTTTGTCGGGCTCCACGGGGCCATGGGTGTTGACCACTTCTCCTGGAAGAAGAGCACAGCCATGAGCCTCACCCTCTGCCCCCAGGAGCTCCCCCAAAGAACACTCTGTGCTTGGCAACTGCAGACCATCTCTCCGGCTACCCTTGGCCTCTAACTGAGGGCCAATTCACAGCAAAATTCCAAACAATCATTGGGACCCAAGGTGGCCGGGTGGTTGGAAATCCTCCTCCATCTCCCTCTGGTTACCGAGTGACAGCTGACTGATCTGGCCTCCTGCCTCCTGGCTGGTGCCAAGAGAGCTGCCATGGCCCTGGCCCGTTGACCCAGATGGACTTGTAAGGAGCTGCAACAAGGCTGCTTCTGTGTCAACAGCAACGACGACGTCCTGGGACCATTCCCGAACCAGATGGTGGCATCCAGGCGCCAGGCTGGGTCCTGGCCCTGCCAGCCTTGGCTGTTAGCACTGTGGGCCAGTTCCCTGCTGCCACCAACTTGGGCCCTCAGTGTCTGTGGAACCTGCGAGCAGGTCAGGGCTGAATCGCTGAGTCCACACCATGCTGCCGGGAAGTTGGGCTCTGGCACCCCTCCTCTGTGGGTTCGTGGGCAGGGCTTGGAAGATACAGCCCCAACTCCCACCCACAGGCAAATCAGACTCATTTGATAAATGCCGGATGACTCAACCACTTAATTTTGGCTACTGGTATTATTCAATTTCTACAATCCAGAACTCACTGCTGTTCACACTTGGAAGAATGCAATGTTTAGTACATTTTGGAAATGGAGTCTTCAAGAAGAACCCCCTCAGTACACTGCCCGCCCCGAACACAGGGCACTGTACACACCAGACGCTGAACTCACGCTGACTGACTTTCAGACTCCTGGCCCAAATGTACTGTTCTCATGTGCAAGGGGCAGCTCTAGACCCTCCCAGGAACAGGTCTGTGGGGCAGATGAAAGAGAAATGGCGATCTGTGGCTGTGAGCTGAGGACAGGCTACCAGCACTAATCACCCAACTCTCTTTCACTCAACAACGTCTACTGGTCAGACGTTTAAAGGTGCACCAGACGTCGCACACCAGAACATAGCCAGGAAAAAACACGCGGTCCCCACCTGCATAAGGCGTACCATCTTCAGGGGACACATTCAAGAAATGAGATGTTACCAACGTGCTAAGGGTCACAAACTGGAAACTACACACAACAACGGGACACACAGCAGCTGGCCACCCACCACAATCTGGCCCCTCAAAAGGTTTGCTTGGGACAGAAGTGGTATTTTTTTCCTTCGTTTAGAAACTGACCTTTTAATTTACTCACAAAGCAAAGCAGTTTAACACAAGTGAATGTGCTTCCAACTCACGACCACATACAATTTTTTGAGCCCATAAAGCTGAAGACTAAGCCCCGGAAAGCACCAAGGACTGCTACCACCTCATCTAGGTGCTAGTCTGTCCCCTGTCCTACACGGAACTTACACCTTTTCCAAACACATTTAACTTCAAAATCTTTTATCACTGTTTTCCTAAGTGAGCTCCACGGACAGGAGACCAGTGGTCTTCCCCCGTGCAGTCACTGCCGCTGACAATGAGGACACCTTCTGAGAAAGATGTCGCTGGGTGACTGCGTCGTCGTGCCAACAGCAGAGTGCAAGTGCACAGACCTAGACGGTCTGACCTGCGACACACCGAGGCTCCACGGCACAGCCCACTGTCCCTGTGCTACAAGCCTGTACAGCACGTTGCAGCACAAAACCACACGACATTAGGTCAGGCACAATGGAACTGAGATGTAAACACTAGACATACAAGGCCGCTGTCACACGGCAAACTGCTTTAGAGCACACAATTTTTTAAATAAATAGAGTGTACTCTCAAATAACCATACACAGCACAGTAAAGCAAACAGCAATCGGCAACACTGTTGTTATCACCATTGTCAGGTGTCAGGCACTACATGTAGCTGCACTCACTGAGTGGCGATGCCATGTGGGGACAGGAAGTCTTTCAGCCCCTTACAGTCTCATGGACCCACCTCCGCACACGTGATCTGTTGTTGATCAAAATATTACTGTGCGGCGCCTGGCTGTATTACAATAATCTCAAGGCCAAACCTTTCACTAGGGCTGGTTACAGGAGCAGCAGTGCATGCGACAAGCATTCTCTCCTGCACCACCTGTTCACGGAATCTCAGAACGCGCCAGCTCTGTGGCAAGAGCTGGTACACGAAATGGACACAGGTGACTTAAAAAAGTACAGTGGCATGATCTGAAAAAGGAGGTAAAAGTTTCACCTGGGAGCACGCAGAACTGTTACACAGCCTGAAACACTTGCTGTTTAGAAAGCCTTTAAATGGGGAATTTAGGATGACTTTAAATTCCTAAAGAATTCTAGGTCTCTTCAGTGGAAAACAATCTAATTACAACTCTCCCAACAAGGTGGGAGTACTGAAAACACAGTTCACTGGAAATGCCTGCATTTTAAATTCATTAGCCCCGTTTCAGTGGAAAATATAAAGCACGAAGCCAGGTATCACACAGCCCTGGGGGTACTCGGGAGTAGAGTGAGGGAGGCTCCTCGGCCACACAGAGCAGCGGGCACTTGAAACTCGTCGCTCTCTGCAGGCTGACTCGCAGCCACAGAGGAGCCTTCACTCTCCTGGACTGGCCACAGGCCTAAAAGGCAGACCGATCAGGCGCTCGGAGTGACGGCTCTTCCACACATGTGCACAGAAGGCATGCGCAGCAGAAACAGCACTGGGTCCCGCTGCGCCTTCCTGAGTGTGTCGGGGCCCCGTGAGCAAGCACGTGGCTTTCTCATGAACCTTCTGAAAACAAAACCGCAGCACTTTCTACAAGTACAGGTGGAGAAACCAAGGCAAAGAACAAAGAATAACTGGACTGAAGAGGAACAGAAACCCACCACCTAACTCACCTCATCACCAAGTCCCGCTGTCTGTAAAACCATGGGGCTAAGGTACCCACTTGCAAATTTCCAGTGAAAAAGAAAATCAAACCAAAACACCAAACTCCACTTGATAACTGGACTAAGATGTCTGGCAGTCACCACAAAATGTATGTCCATGCATTTCACTCAGAGGCACAGCCCGTGGCCCCGCCTTCTTTCTGCTCCCTTTAGGGGGAGCGGTCACTGGGCCCGGCTACTAGTACCGCCCTAGGAGCAGCATTACTGGGACCCAAAGCCTTGCTGGAGGGCTTAGCCAGTGGGCCTGGGACCTACATGCCTGGGGCAGCCCAAGAGACAAGGTCGATGGGTCAGGGCAGGGTTCTGGAGTAGTGCCTGCTTGCTGATTCACAGCTCATAACCCTCCGGGCAGTGTTTTGCCTGCAGGGGGCGTACCTCAGCTTACCTCTGGACTGTGACTAAGCTGTCCAAGAACTGCATCGCTCCAGAGCAGAGCTCCTGAAACTTTCAAAGTGGACACAAATCCCCTGCATGTTCTGATTCCAAAGACCTGGAGTGGGGCCTAGAGTCTGCATTCTACAAGCCCTTAAGCAATGCCACCCTGCTGGTCTGAGACCACACTTCAATAGCAAGGCTCTGTACTGCACATGCCCACCTCTGGAAATGAATCTCCTCGGGCTCCGCTGTTCCTCACCAGTCTTTGGCCTTGCTTCCACCCTCCTCCTCCCCACCAAATACACTGTCAAGTCGCACTCTGTTTCTGGAGGGGAGCAGTTAACATGCATGTCCTGATGGTCACTCACATTTGGTGGGACACACGTTCTTCCAATGCACTAAGTAAATGGAAGCTGGCTCGCAGTGGGCCCAGACCCATGATGCACAGCTCGGGAAACTTCAGCAGCGACTCTGACGTGAGCCATCCAGGTTAGCTGGGGCTCGGTTCCAGGAGGCATCTGCAGCTCTGCTACATCCAGTCTCTTCTGGGATTCTTTTAGATTTTTTGCCTGCCCTATCCTTTAAGAGTTCATTATAGCTTTCTTAGGGGTGCCAACCAAACCTATACACAGTGTTCCAGCTGTTGAACCATCACTGTTAAGCAAAATGTCAAATTACCTTGCCTTTAGTAAGGGTGCACTGGCAAGAGACTAGGAGGAGACTGGGAACCTGGCCATTCCAGAATTAAACATTTGCCCAGATAAACAGATAGTCTGTTCATAAAATCTGTGTGAAAAGATAGATCCCTGGGCAGACACCCCAACTTGTCATGTGCCAATACATCATTTTTCTTTGTAGATTTATATTGAATGATGATGGACCAAGAGAATCATTATTTGTTAGAATCAGTGTGTGCTACTGTGCAGAGAAAAGGTCCCTGAACAATAGCCTTTCCTACACTGCACTTTCAAGACTATCCTCTAGCCCTGGCTGGTGTGGCTCAGTGGACTGAGTGCTGGCCTGTGAACCAAAGGGTCACTGATTCAATTCCTAGTCAGGGCACATGTGTGGTACAAGTAGGCCAGGCACCCAGCTGGGGGCATGTGAGAGGCAATCACATGCTCATGTTTCTCTCCCTTTCTCTAAAAATAAATAAATAAAACCTTAAAAAAAAAAAAGAAAGAAAAGACTCTCCTCTAAAAATAACCACCAACGCACTCCAGGGCTCTACTGTCCTCTCCCACAGATTCAGTGAGGAACCCTTAGCATAGCTGTGGCACACCCCTTGCCCTTGCCCCTGTAACTGGGGAAAAAAGCTCATACGTACCCAGTTTGGGGACGGGCTGTGTGTCCCAGAACTGATAGCTTCTCTTGCTAGCCTCCTCCATTGTTTTGGCAGGTCCCTGGCCCACTGAAAACAATTCAATGGCCTTCTGTATTTCCTGGATCCTCTCTGCTGGCAAAGAGTTCATCTGGACAAGACAAAGGCGGGGAGAGAAAGGCCCACTGTTAATAAGCATTTCGTATCAATCACAGGGGTATGGTTCCTGTTCTGATCCCCGAGGCCGTGTACTGCACTGCACAGCTGGAGAAAGCTGCTGACGATGAGCAATGTGACATGGGTGCATCCTCAGGGTTTGTCCCCTTCTTGTGATGTGTGATGGCAGATGCAATACATGTTCATTGTAGTTCCAAACATAAACAGTAAGAAACCAACAATCCCAACCCTCAAATATAATCCTCATCATCAACCATCTTAATTTGGGAAGCAGAGAGAGAAGAGGCAAATACATATAATTTCAGATGTTTTTGCTCGCAAGTTCCAAACACACAACTTCAAAAACTGGAATCAGACCATACACTGTTACTTGATAAGCTGCTCTTCTTTAAACACCGCGTCTAAGAGACCTTTCCATGTGGACATGCGCACTCGCCCATCCTAACCGCTGTGCACGGACCGCAGTGTATCAGGCCAACCCCCACCAACGGGCGTTTTGGTGGTTTTGTTCTTCAGTGCTGCAGACATGCTGTAATGAACTTTCTTGTACATCGGTTTTTGTTCATTTGGACGTGAATCCCTGCAGCATAAGGTCTGAGAAAGGAGGCTTTCTGAAAGGGGTGCCTCCGGCACTCTGGTCACCCCTGAAGTGCTGACAGGGTCAACAGATACGCACATCTGAACTTATAATTAGCAGTTAATAAACCAACAAACAGTGTTATGAAAGCATGTGTTTCTCCAGACTCTTACTAGATTTACCAAATCTTAATCTCTGCCAATCTAGGAGAAAAAAATACTGCTCTAATTCTCATGTCTTTCACTGTGAATTTAATCATCTTTTCATACACTGACTGAACATTTGTATTTTTTTCTTTGTGAAATGCCAATGCATTTCATTACTTTAAATTGACTGATTCATATGTTACAAATATTTTCCCAGTTCATTGTTTATCTTTTGACTTGTACAGAGAAGTTTAAATTTGTCAAGTTTTCTTTATAGCTTCTAGGTCTCATGTCAGGCTTATGATTACAAAATATGCATAATTTTTCCTAACACCTTGCTTTTTATTTTTTTTCTGGTTAAACTGCGAAGGGAAGGAAGGCTATAAACCAACATGTTTACACTGCTGACTCCTGGGAGGCAAGATTGTCAACGTAAGAAACGTTTACACCTGTAGAGAATTTGAGTTTATTTGAGCCAACTGACAACAACTGACAAAGAAGCAAAATCTCAATGGACAGAGAAAGTGCTCCAGAGAAAGCAGTTTTGCACCTTATCTTACACATTACAATCAGAGGAGGAAGCACACAGCATTACATGAAATCTACTGGTAATCAGATTAGGGAGGCAGAGAAAGCAACGCGGGGAAATCTCCAGGATTGGATAAAAAGCAAAATGAAAAGTCACATACTTCTTTTACATTTGTGGGTATACAACAGCTAGCAACAAAAACCACATTAACAATGAAGAATTTTGTGGTCTCTGCGCTGGTGCAGTGAGGGATAAGGAGGGGAGGGCCGGGGCAGGGCGTGCAATGAAATTACCCTGACATTCCAAAGGTGTGTTGTCCAGATGCAAAAAGACAAAAGGCTCAGTTAAGGTAAAGACTGACCCTGTCAGGGAAGACACTGGCCTTGGACATGACTGCTCGCTGTGACTTGCTTTTTGTTAGGAAGATTTAACTTCAGACCATCCTGTGTACTTACTTCGGGTCTGAGTTTGTAAGGCCCACCATGCAGGCCTCCCCTGAGCTTGTCAGATTTAATATGGCGCCCCTTTTTCATTCAGAGGATTGTAACTGATTTTAGTTTTCTTCCTCTTGATATGTTTTTTCTCCAAATTCTCTACAGTGAACTTCATCACTCTTATAAAAGGAAAGTGAAAGAGCTATGTAAATAGTACTGTTAAAACTTTCTCATTTCAAACGGAACCATTGATTTAGGCTCAAGCTCCAATTCCCCTGAGTCACCCAACACCCACCCTCAGACAAACAGAAGACCAACCAGACAAAAATCCTTGAAGCCGAAGCATCGGCTGGACTAGAACTCCTGACTGAAGACCTGGGTGAGCTGCCTCTCTCACCTTTCAAATGGAAAGACTCTCACTTTCATACCCTGTAGGGGTACTGAAGTGCCAGGCAAGAACCTAGCCAACACTGCGGTCAGTAATGGTGGCATTTTTTTCATAGGGGATTGGATGTTGACAAAAGTAAAAAATCACTTCAAGCCCTATCTCCTTAAGAAGACTGAAGCTAGAGCATGAAGCAAAGTGTATGTACCTAGAACCGGACCAATTTTCTTGTGAGGCTTATAAACTGTTTGAGAGGCAATTCTAAAAAAGGAATCATGGATATGTTTTGAACTTTCCCCTGTGCCTACTTTAAAGAGGACAGTACTTACCTAAATAAAAGGCTTTCTTTTTTTTAATGTAGTTTATTTACAAAACAAAACAATCCTTACCCATACCTCTGGGTTTCAGATCTGCGAGTCTCAGGTCGCAAATTGGTAGGTCAGTGGTCCTCGGCTCTGAGACTGGGGTTTTTGCGACAAAGACTCACACTGCAGTAGAAGAATGCGTGCACCACACGGAGGTCTGCCTTACGAAGAACAGGCCTGGGTGCCCACACGGAGGGGGCGTGAGACGGAAAGGCTAAGAACCGCGGCTCCAGCAACGGCGCTGGCGCAAGCGCAGTCGTCCTCCTCTGTCTGGCACCTTGCACAGCGCCACCTGCAGTGATGCACCTGTGCACTCTCAGGGGACACCGTGCTTGGGAGTCAGTGTCTAACTTGCTGTGCCTTGAGGTGTAAGAACGATTCATCGCCTAGGTCTAGGGGGACAGAAGGTGGCGACGCCTCCGCCCTGAAGTAACGCCGGCGGAGACTGTCAATCTAAGCCGTCCCACACGTTCACCCCCAAACTCTCTCATGCCAGAAATCGACTCTCAGTCACAAGAAAACAGAGCCTCCTTATTACCTTTACGGGCTGATCCTGGGCTGAATCTGTCTCGCTGCCTTTCTCTTTCTTTTTCTTTTGTTTCTTTTTCTTCTTTTTGGCTCCAGTGTCATTGGCTGGACTCGAACCACTGTAAAACAAGTAAACACCGATGCAGGCTTTGTTAAAAAGATCATCTGCTTTGGGCTGCGCTGACGAGAACTTTCTGTGTGGAGCCGGACCTTCCTGCATCGCCCTGCCGGCTGCAGAAGCAGACGAGAGTCTAATCCAGGTCCCCAGACGACACGGCTTCCTCCCCACTCCCACCAGCTCCCGGGGAGGGAGCGCTGTGCAAGGAATGTCTTATTTGTTGGAAAGGAAAGTTCCTATTCTTGCTTTATTTTATGTTTATTTTCTTTAGATTCCTAGGCTGCTGGCACCACAGACAAATGATAACTGCTAACAGGGCACCCATGCCACCAATATACCCTTAGAGTCCCTCGTTCAGTAGGGTGACCGGGTGTCCTGACCCACTGGGGTCACAGGTTCCATTCCTGTCAGGGCACAGGCAATCCACCAATGGATGTACGAACGGGTGGAACACAAACACGTTCCTTTCTCTCTAAAACCAAAACCAGTTTTAAAAATACAATAAAGCAAAATAAAAGGATGACAGCCAGAACTGGTCTTTGTGGGAGCCCTTCCTCACACCCACTCCCAGACTCCCAATGCGTCAGGTCTAACGAGTTTCCCCAGCTGGACCTGAAGTACACGGCAGTCCTCGAGAGTGGGGAACAACAAGGAAACGGGCGATTTAATGCTGCTCTAACTGTGCGCAAAATCGTCAAACAACCCGGAAAAACACCTAGATCAGGCCTGCAGGCCTGAGGACAACTGTGGGCCGGTTAAGACTGCGTGAGCACCACGGGCAAAATCTAGTACTAGGGACCTCAGCGAAGTGAAGCATCCAGCCATCCCCACCACACGATCACGTGCACCGTGTGCCTGAGCGTGAGCGTGGTGAGGGGGCCTCCTCAGGCCCTTTTCCTTCTTTGTGATACACCCCGTGAGCGCAGCAAAGCTTCTTGGCCACATTCATGCTTCCTACTGTCGTGTCTTATTGTTTCTGTATTGTGTCTCAATATCTTCATCGAGAGGCGAATCATACGTTATACTGTTTCTTTGACATTTTCAATCCATTTGCTCCCCAATGTTCTTCCAGTTCTTGTTGATTTTAGGACAGCAGTTCTGATTCTGGGAAGTCTCCACCTGACTGATGCATGTTCGGGTTCACCCTGCGGCCGGTTCCCCTAACCACTGCCGTCGCCAGCTTCCACGTCAGACTGAAGTTGGCAGCGTCAGGCTGGAATAATGACTGACGCTGCTCTGTCATCTCCTTGGAACTCTCTCGGTAAAAAGTAAAAAATAATCATCATCTACTGGATTCTCATGCTGTGGGGTCCCTCTTGGATTTTCAGGCCCCAAACCCGCTTTCTTTCTTGGGTGGAAGAAGTGGAAGGCGGGAGGCCCAGGATCCAGAGGGTGAGAGCCCAGCAACTGCCAGCAGAGGCAAGGGAAAGGTCACCAGACCCAGGGATGGGAGAGAGGAAAAAGGGCCAAAGAAGAATCCAAGCAAAAAGATGAAACGTGGGAGTGTCTCTCAAGCAGTGGCTGCCACCCAGCACGCCAGCTGGCCCCCATCACAAAGCAACCTGCCCAGGGCTCTAGTGGAACTCGAAGTGGAGCTCCATCAAGCCTGGCTCAAGGACACTCCACCCTGAAGACCACCTATAGTGACTTCAGCTACCCACCCCCCCAGCCAACCACACGTGGGTTCATTCTGGGGACCAGCTCTTCCCTGTGACCAGCGTCAGGGCCATCTCTAGGTAATTCACCCCCACAGGTAGAGAAAGCCCTGCTCCTGCCACCAGAGGCTCCCCTGGCCACCCACAGGCAGGCTCTCACTGGGGAGAAGCCCTACCCACGCCCTGACTTACCCCTACCTGCTGGCCACCCACCAGCTGTCCCAACTGCAGCATTTGTTTTGCCTGCACCTCTCTGCTAGCTGTCCACAGGCACTTGCGAAGGTGAGAAGCCCCACCCCTGCCCTGACTGTGGCCTCCGCTTTACCTACTCTTCTCAGTCACCAGCATATCCACTTTAACAGCTGGCCCTTCTGGGGCAGAAGGTGGGAAAGGCACAAGCACAAGTACAGCCTGGAAGCCCAAGAGTGGATCCATCGTTCTGGCCAGAGCCCAGGGTGGCAGCAGCCTGCAGTGCAGCTGTCACGGCTGACTCCTGTTTCAGAGGCTGGGATGCCCCAGTTCATTTCTGCTACTTCCCAGACATATTCCAGTGACACGGGTGGCAGAGCTCAGGAGAGGATCAGGGTTTTCTCTGGACAGGAAGAGGCAGCGTCTATGTGTTCAGGGGTAAGGAAAGGAAGTGGGCGCTGAAGGAAAACAAAGCTCTGTGTTAGGGTGAGGGAGCAGAGAAGGCCCTCTGGAAGGGACCCGAACGGCCGCCTGAGGGCTGAACCCGTTTTCTGACGTTTCTGCTCCCACTTCCAAGTCCCACTTGGGGCTACTTCACAGCCAACATTTCACCAACTGGGTTTTCTTTCTGGAGTGTTCTCTCCCTTAGAGCATTCTGGCCTGTATCTCTCCTGCTTCTCAGAGCTGGGGTCCCTCAGCCGTGAAAACCTGGTAAAGGAGCCGGTGCCCACGCTGGGGATTCCCAGACCGGAGGGCACACTCTGGACCTGTCCCACGGGGGAGCTCATCCAAGGGCTCCGCCTGCTGATCTGTGCAGTGAGGCATCTGGGAAGGAGACACGGGCGGGCGGCACCAAGCCACTGCTGGCACCCTGGTCCTGAAGACCTAGAGGCGGCCACAGAGAGGAGCCAGAAGGCTTCAGTGGGGGGCTCTCTGGCCCATGCCCACTCTGCACAGCCCACAGAAGTATTAAGCTTATTAACGAAGCTAATTTTTTCCCAAAACTTATGAATTAGGTTTTATAATGTTTTTTCCTTCTTCAGATATCTGCATGTTTTCTGGATTTCACATCTTTTGAATAAAGATGTGTTCCTGGGCCACAGGAGCTAGAAATATATAAGGTTAGGAATTTAAAAAGAGAGAGTAAATTACTTGTGATTAGAGTTGACATGAAGGCATAGTTTCGTTTCCTCAGTCTAATTTACTGTAACGCGTCAAGATTTGAGATCTCTATGACCCCTTCAGATATGCTAGTCGTACTTTAGAACAGGAACCTGGTGCGGAAATAAGCAGGGCGGGGGACAGACTGGGAGTGTCTGTGCGCCAGGAGGGGTGGCGGGCGACTCTGGCGCCTCTCTGAACAAGGCTGCTTCTCCGAACCTCGTTCCAAAGATGGTGACTAATGGGACCTGGGTGTTACTTTCACTGCACCACACAGTCTCTCCTTCATCAGGAGACCTCGGTTTTAGCTCAGCTCATTTCCGCTCGCTGAGTGGCCGTAAGCATATTATTCAACATTTCTGCACCTTAGTTTTCTCACCTGTAAAATGAGGCTAATGTCACCTTAACTGGATTGTCTGAGACAAAATGTGAAGGCACCTAACATGTCTTTATAGTCTGAAGAACAAATAGCAGAGGTGGCCCCTCCAATTTTATTATAAAAGTTTTCAAAGATTCAAGAGTTGAATTTTATGATACATCTGCCACTTAGATTCTGCAATTAACCTAGGTTCTTTTGCTATATTTATTTTATCACCTGTCAGTCCATCTAACCCTCCATTCATTCATCCACCTTTCTCAATGATTTTCGTGGTACATTACAGACATTACACTTCACTCCAAATAATTCCAAAGCTGAACTTCATACACAAGAAACTTTAGCTGTCCTGTCAAGTTCAGATGCACCATTATTGAGAAGAAAATTTACAAACCATAGTTGTCTCCTGTGTATTTTATAGCTTCTCGAATCCGGAGCCCAGTCTGAGTACAGTGAACCTTAGTCTGCAGAACCAGCTAAGCTCAGAGTACTGTTTCGGCTGTATACTCCAGATAACCAACTTTCAAAGAATTAAGACAGTATAAAATACCTTTTCCATACATTATGGTAAATACCAATTAAGCTTCATTTTATAGTTCAGAAAGCCTTCATGGTCTTAAACTGACTTGGGGTGATCACGAACATTAACTCTCCTGTCATGCCGTGCGAGGAGGGAGCGGTCTGGAACCACGCACTGCCACCTCCCGCGGCATGACATCTTCAGGTCGGTCTCCTCCTCACCCGGGCAGCAGCACTCACACCCAGACTTCATGACCTCACACGTGGACTAAAGTCACCTCCAGCATTTCCTGGACCTCCTTGACTTCCCAGCCTTTTTGCATCGTCCTGAACTGTGGGCCTCACCACGTGTCCCTGCCACGTGACCCTGCCTCACCACGTGACCCTGCCTCACCACGTGTCCCTGCCACGTGTCCCTGCCTGAAAGCCCAACTTCTCCCTGGGCCCACAACACGGTGTTCCAGTCTGGCTCACCCACCCTGACCTCCTGCTCTGGAATGACTGCCTGCACCCGCCTGGCCAGGCCCCTTCTCGGATCCCTGATGAAGACCGTGAAGCCAGGGAGATCCAGGGAAAGCTGGAGGTTCCTTTGGTGCAAACGTAAGGTCAGGAAGTCCACCTGCAAGTGTAACCTCCTACAAATTATATCAATGAAACGCCAAAGGCACAATTCAGAGGGGTGAAGGGGATTTTAAGGTGAACTCCTTAAAATCAGACATGCAGCAAAGCCCCCAAGGCCATAAAAAGAATAGGAACTGAACCGTAAGTCATTCACACCCTGAAGATATTTTTTTCTCTTAATAACCCAATTTTGTTATCACACACAAGCCCATTTGTAGCCTGTGACAACTCTACGTGGTTTTCTTATTCCAGAGATAGTCTCCCTTTGATCTCAGGACTGTAAGCGGCATTAAAAACTGGCTGATGTTAGGAGACAAACCAGCATCCCACTGTTGATACAATTTATAAGTCCTTTTCAATTTCAGCTTGTGGAATGCATTCTCTAGGCCATGGATATGAATTACCGTAAGAATCGTTTTTTATATATTCTATGTAAAAAAGAACCAAAAAGGTCAAGGTGAATACCGTTATAATCAACTG